CGCCCGCCCCCCCCCCCAATATCCTCGATTGCCTATTGTCCGCAGAGCCAACAAGAACACCGCATTGTGACATTTTAATGCACTTTAGACCCCTGAGGAAAATCTGCTTTTGGATGAAGCGCAACACGACGACGCCCCTTTTTGGAGCCGCCGCTCCCTTTAAATCTTCCGTGCCGTAGCTTTTCAAACGGGGCCCTCAGACCCCCGCGGAGCACAAGACGGCAGCCTTCCTCCTGCCTGATCCCCTTTTAATCTGAGAAGAGATGGAGGGGCGGCCAAGGCCCCCCATCATCTCCTCGGCCTTAAGCTGCGCCGTGCGGAAGAATAAAGACGTTTCCTTTCCACCCCCCCTCACGGCCGCTATGCGAGGTCCTCTGTGTGCCCTCCGGAAGAAAAATTGGAGACCGAGTGCGCGATTGGATTATTCCCAGTCGACGGCGTATGGCGGCCGTCAAGTGACAAGTGGCGTGGCCGCATGAAATCTGCGCAACAAAGTACATTTGCTGAAAAGTGCAGCTGCTCAAAATCATCGATCATCATCGTGCGCCTATTTGGTAGGTACCGACCCCTCCCCTGCCCCCACCCTCCACTGACAACGACTGAATGAAACTTCGAGTTCCATTATCCACCAGGATGCCACAATATGGCAAAAGCGTTTTTTTAGACATGGTACAAAAGCGGCGCAATAGAACAGGATGCGCTCCAAACAAATCAGCATCTCGATGATCTTCCTTCAGTCCAGGGGTGTGCGAAGAGCCCCACCCCGGCCTACTTTGGGAACGACACCCTGGACCGACTGCTCGCTTGAACCTCAGAACTGTCAGTCATGTCACATCCTCTCCCAAATCACGAACGGGTGAAAAACTCAGCAGCGACTCGGTCCGAAAGGTCTTCAGATGGTTCGTTTCCGCAGGAGTTTTCGCAACACTCGCCATGATCCGTCGGCGCTTTTGATTGGCGCGCTTCGTCCTTGAGTCCACATCTCAGCGGTCCCCGTGCAGCGGAATGAGAAATCGTCGAAGGAAGGCAAACGTGGTGCGCGACGAGGGATTGGACCTTATTCAATCAATAAAGACCTATCGGAGGCTTCCACGCATATTTCAGTCGGTGCAAATTCATGATGCGTCCGTCTATTATCGATGGCGCTCACCCTCATTAGGGTCGCAGATGAGCTGAAGTCTATCCCGGCTGACGTCGGGAGAGAGCTCGGGCACGCCCTTGACTGTTCCCCAGTCAATCACGGGCAACTCGTCAATTGAAAGGTTCGCCAGCCGATCAATATACGAGCGGCGCACTCGTCGCTCATCGCGGATCGGACGGGAATTCTTCCATGAAATGATTGCAGAGTCGTGTGCTGGCCATGAGGAGACGAGGAGCCGCTCTTTTGGACTTGATTGTTTTCACGGCAACGACAACGGGAGCCCTCATTCTCGTTGTCGCGTGCCGCGTAACGGGCCCGCCGTGGGGCCAACAGACCAAGTTGACGAGAGCCGTGTCATTTGTCATGACATGGAGCATCAATGTAAAACCTTGCGCCACGTGACGGATGGCTTCGCACCATTCCGCGCCAAAAGATATCGTTTGCGAACCAAATCGCCAGCGGTGTCTGGAGATCCTCGTGCCGGAGGTTCTCAAGCCTCCGAAGTCCACTCGACGGTGCCGGAGCACTCAAAGCCCCAAGCTCACGAAACTGTGAAACGGGCATGCTAGCCGCCGCTCAATGATCCACTTCCAGATGGCCAAAAAGACATATCAACCCCCCCCCCCCTCCCAACCCCTCCTTTGTGCTCTTTCAATGAGTAGTTTTCACTGTTGGTGTGTAGCGCTTTCATTTGGACAAACGCCACCTGAAATTGCTCTTGTTTGCTTGCGATTGGCCTCGCAGCTTCTCCTTGGTTGGCCCCACGAGGAAATTGTTCCTTTCTTGTCGCTTGCTGGAAAGCCGTCGACGTAGCACGGCCCGTGTGCCGGCGACGGCGCGATCGCTAATTAACCTGCCAGCCTTTTAATGTTTTCATTTCCATTGTGAGCACGGCGTAATTGACGGGGGGGCCCAATCGGGTGGGCGGGAGATCAGCGCCGAAGGCTCGCTTACATTCAAACGCGCCCACTGATGGCGCTGCTGGCGGATTGCCGAGGCGCGCGGGATCAATAAGATGGACGCGTACATAGACCGGGTGGCAAATCTCTCGCCGGTGCCCGCCCGGCGCCGTCTGCTTTTGCAGCCTGGTAAGAGCGCCGCCACCGCCGCCGCCGCCACCGCCACCGCCACGGGCTTTTTTGAAGTGGCTCCAAAGCTAGAATGTGGCACCAACCATCCTAACGTTCCAGACGTTGTCCTCCGGCCGCGGCTCGCAAGTGGCCAATCTTTACTCCACGTGGCTGCCAAAGTCCTCGACGGAGAAACTTGACGAGGGGGCGCTTATGACGTGAACAAGCGGCCTTTCACGGCGGACAAAAGATTTACTTTGCAGTTTCGTTTCGCAGATGATGTGTAGGCAGGCACCCCGGAGAGCCAACTATTCGTACGCTCGCAATTAAAAAGTCCATTTTCCACACGCTGTCCCCGATAAATACCCCTTCAATGTCTCGCCGCGGACGGGTGTTGTCATGAGCAAAAAAAAAAAAAAAAAAAAAGAGCAGCCCCCATTCAAAGCCGCAATTGCTCGTCGGTACAAAGTGAGCCGTCAAATCAAATGCGGAAGAGTATGTTCTTCTCTCACGGTGACAGCAGTTGTTCCCGCTTGAGCTGCCGGTAGGAGAAAATGATGCAAAATAAAGTGCTTCAGAAAGTGGGAGGATTCCCGCAAGACCACCGCTGCATTTTAAATATGGAAAGCAAAAAAAAAAAAAAAAAAAAAAAGTCATTTCATGAGACGATTGTTGGTGCTGCTCTCACTGAGTCCGGTGTATTTTTTTTTTTTTTTCATTTTGCATTTTGCATGCATCCCTTCTGGTCAACCCGGGTTCAACTTCAACTCTTCTCTGACCTACAAAAAATCACTTCAGCGATGTCTTCTTTCCTATTAGCTCGGCTTTAGCATGACCAAAAAAAAAAAATACTCAATTCAATTTGCAATTAGCAAACAGCAAACAGGTGAGAGGGTTGACTACCTTTGAAATAAGAACCACGGACTAGCTGAAGTGCTGACTTTTTCCTAATGCCGTCATTTCGATAGAAACAAGCACGTGTCGGCGTCCGCCGAAAGCAGAACAAATGTAACCTGCCGGAGAAGAGAGAAGCAGGCCACTGGTCATTTGGGGCGACTCCGCTTGGCATTTGGCGCCAGTGTCCCGCCGTTCCGCTTTATGGGTCGTTAAATTAGAACGGCGGCACGCCAGGGATGACACGATTGGTGAAAGGCGCTTTTCGGTTCATCACCTGGCCCTTTTTCCGGCGCGCTTGGGCTAGCGCTCGTTCCGGGCCAGTGCCCGGCTTAGCAGCGGTTCTTTCTTTTTCCACCCCCGAAAATTTCCCCGGTTCTTGAAACCGGTCTGAGGCATTCCGACAAAGTTTGATGCTTCCCCCGCTCTAGCTGACTCAACGACCGCGACCACTTCCGATGGCCGCCGCTGAAGTGATTACGTTAATCCCGCCGAACGATCGCACGCGTCTTTAGCGTATGTATCGGTCACGCAAAAATGAAAAAAAAAAAACCCAAACGCGGCCGTTCCTCTGGTCGGCACAGAGCAGGAGCTTTCGTCACGCTCGGGGGAACTGTTCTAATGGTGTAAGAAAAGCAAGCGGCGCCGCCTCTAAATAGCGCCGCCGAAGAAGGCCACTTTGTTGCTGGAGGTTAATTAGCATTGCAGTCAGCACCGTGACTTTTGATTTGTGCAAATCACAGCAAAAGCTTAATTAACTTTCACATTCCGGTGCGGGGGAGGCGCCGGCGCCGGCGTCGGCTGCGACTCAGCCAGCGGTGGCGCAAAGAAAACACTCCTGATTCAATTTGCGGCCACCGAGATTCCGAGGCCATCGCCGGCGTTGATTTAACCTCCGGGACGAGATGTCGTCCGGTCTCCGCCTCGTTCCCCCTTGCGCGCGCACACTCGGGGCGGTGCCCTCCATTCCCAAAGTTAATCACTTTTTAATTTCATTGCTTCTCTTCAGCAGATTGTCATTCCGTTGCCCCTTGGCCACTTTTCCGAGGGCGAGGACGAAAGAGGGCAGGTGGACAAACAACTCCGAATATCGATACCAATTTTGGGTTGGGGGTGATATTGATTGTTACGTCAAGTTGTGTTACATTAAATATGTGGAGATTTTTCTTTCAAGTGGAGGTCGTTGTTGGTTATTGACACTTTTTTTTTCCCCATTTCACTTTACTTTTCTATTTCCTGTGTTCCAATAAATTCCAGAAAAGTCCAGAAAAAAAGTGCATGATTAATTAATTAAAATGTATTTTCCTTCAAACACGCGTGCAAATTCCACCCTGGCTTTGAACAAATGAGTCAACTAAAAGGGGGGTGGGGGGATGGCAACAACACGAGTAAATGGCGCACACCATGAGGCCCAACCTGAAAAATGGCTTCAGAGCAATTGGTTTTTATTTTCAGTGGTGTTTGGAAGGAACATTTTGGAGCTCCACCGGCTTGCCTTCAAAATGGTGAACTAGGATTTGTTACAAGGTCACTTCATTCCAACATCCTCATCTAATAAGTCGAAATCCGCCATGCGCCGTATGCAGACGCACATTCCCCAAGTATGCCTTTTTTTTCCCCCCCCGATTGTGATTTGTTTTGACCTTTATGCGGACTCATCGCTGTGTGCGTGCGCGTGCGTGCGTGCGTGCGTCTTTTACGGCTGACGAGTGAAGTGTGTGTGAAGTGTCTGCGTATTGGAAAGTCTCTGGAAGCCGAAGGCACAAGTGGCGGCGCCGCGGAGGGATTAAAATGCTAATAAAACAGGCAGGATGCATTTTCAGGTTTTTAAGCCCGCTGAAATATGCATGAGTCCCCAGTGAGGCCGACGCAGGGGACGCCGCACGCCTAATGCCGCTCACGCCGCCACCGACAGTTTCTTTTTTTTGCCGCGGATAAATGTCATTTGAACCTTTTGACACTGGCTGTCCATCTGTCCGTCTCGTGACCTCTCGTCCGTAGCTTGTGACCTCCCCCTCTGCCGGCCTACCTACTCACCTACCGACATAGCTTACGGTCGCTCAGTCTGTCAGTCAGTCCGCGGGTTGAGTGATCCATCTTGCGACCTATCTACCTGCCAATACAGTATGTCAACTGCCCTATCGTGCTACCGCCCCACCACTGTAGCAACCTGCCAAGACTTCAGTATCTGCCCACCGAGCCTCCTCCCGACCGACGTCGCGACGGACCTCGCTTTCTACACGCTTACCTCGCTAGCTCCTTACTTCAGTCATGGTTTTGCTCGTTTGTGACCAACGGGCGGCGTCGCAGCCGTTGGTCGTCACGTCAGTTCTTTCCGGTTAAAGCGGACCGCCACGCCGATCACTCGGGGTCGGATGGTTGCGCTTCTGTGGTGGCTTGTTTGTCACTTTGGCTGATCGGGGTTGTCAAGATTTTGTCTTACTGTCATGGCTTTGGGGGTTTTTGTTCCTGTGAGTTCTTGGGGGGGTTTTCAGGAGTTTCTTTGTGGTGTTGATTTAGTTTTTCCAGTGTTTTTGTGCATACATTTGGTTTTGGACACCTCCCTGCTTTTTGGTCCTCCACCATCACGCGCCTCTTGACAACTTCCCCCAATTGTCTGTCCATATGCCCAACGACCGATCAATCTCCCTCCCTATTTCCACCGACCCGCCTTTTCGCTGACATAGTCAGCTACCGATCAACTTGCCAATCTATTGACTTCATTACCTACCGACGTATTCGCTTGCCCGGCAGCGGATGCTTCGATCCGGATGGCAGACAAATCTTTTTTTAATGTGCGTTTTCATTATTCCCGACAGCCCCTTTTTCTTTCAAATCCAATCCCGCATTAACAGCACAGAGCAAACTATTTATCCGCCGCGATAGATTGTCTGTCTCTGGCCATTTCAGCAGAAGTTGTCTGCGTTGTGAGCTGTAAACAAAGACCGGCCGCTAAGCTGAAACGCAGATCTTTGAAAAAGAAGATATAAGCCGTTTGAGGCCGTTCGCTGCTTCGTTTTTGGGGGGGAAACAAAATGAACTCCATCATCCAAAGGACGCTTGCTTTGCGTAAGGATGAAGGTCGTAAATGAGCAATGTTTTCCAAAAACGAATGCGCCAAATGTCGATGTTCATCGGTAGTCTCTTTCCTTCGTCAAACAGTCAGTCAGTCATTCAGTTAGGTTGCATCTTGGTGTGTTTGTAGTTGGTTCCGTAGTTCTTTGGGTTAAGTGGTTCATTTAGGTTTTGGTTTGTTAGGGTTAGTTCCTGCCAGAGCTAGCGTTGATTTAGGATTAGCTAGATAGGGTTCATGTTTAGGGTTGATTAGGATTTGGGTTGGAGTTAGATCGGTCAAGCTTTTTTGTTTGTTTGTTTGTTTGTTTGTTTGTTTAGCTTCCCAGTTAGCGTTTTGATAGCCACTCCGAAGAGCAAAGGCAGACACCGACAGCGCCGACTCTCTGTTCCTGCCGCTAACGACGCGGGCTAAACTTAGCTCTTTTTCGACTTACAAAGCACTTGGAAACAGTAACGATGTAAACGGGGCTTGACTGTCATGCTTGGCTGACGCTTGCCATTGGAGATATTCTTTGAAAACGCTGTTAAAAGACATGCTAGAGATCGCTTGGCTACATGAGAGCTTGTTTAAAGGTCATGAAGTCGAGATCCGAGGTGACAACTGGCTCATTAGCATCTGCTTTTGATGCCACAAGGTGCCTTTGGGGTAACGACAGTACGCGGTCGTCGATTCTCTAACCTGTCTTAATTGGTTCGCGACAACAAAGACCCGACTACCCCGCTTTCAGTGCCACTTTTTCAAAGACTGCCAAAGTCACAAACCAGCCGGGAATCAAACTTTTTCTCTCGGGCGAGCCTCTTCAATTTGCCCGCTCTCTTTTACTGTTCCAAGCGACTGCGGCATCAAGCGCTCTCCTTTCTTTTACCTCGCCTCACTTCCATCTCCCGCTTCCTCTTGTTGACGCTTCCCGTGTTTGTTATCCCGCCGGCGCTTTCTTCTCACTCCATCCCGTCTTTACCGTGGCGGCCGACTCAAAGGGAGGCGCTCCACGTCATATCCAAGAAGGGGAGCTTAGCACAGCTGCGATGACACCTGCGACGTCTTTTTGGTCAAAGTAATCCACCTCAAGCCTCTTTTTCACATTCATTAGAGTTCTGTTCTGTTGGCTGTTTTCATCGCCGGGAATGAAACGATCTCGCTCGAGCGGTCGGACGAGTGAATCGGCCAAACGGCTCCAGCACGCTCCCAACGCTTTGGGGAATTGGCACATCATCGGGGCGACGTGGCTCAGCGATGGAGCAGTGGTCTCCCACCCCGGAGGTTGGCGGCTCGATCCCCGGCCGTTGCGACCATGTCGAAGTGTCCTTGAGCAAGACACTGAAGCCCCGGTGGCTCCCGACGCCGCGTCATCAGTAGGTCAATGAGGCAACCGCGTAAAGCGCTTTGAGAACCCCAGGTCAAAAAGCACCGGACGGGTGACGGGCCATGTCCCACTTATGTGTATCGATTTGGTCTTCTTTCTCTTTGAAAGATACTTTGTCGGGAAAGATGAGTCAGGTCTGGGCTGCACGTGGTCGTGTTGTTTCATTGGATTGGCATTGGCGTCTTTGGAAAAACCTCTCTGGACCCAAAGGCCTGTCTTAGATCATCGCGTTGACTCATCCATTTTTTTCCTCCCCTGCTGGCGTTTGTGTTTTGCAGGAATGGGTGACGGCGACCGACCTGCTGGTCTCGCTGGACAGGCTCAACACCTTCGGCGACGAGGTCTTCAAGGACGCCAAAGTCCTGCGCTCGTACTTCTACGCCATCTCAGATTTCTCCGTGGGCGGCAGGTAACGGATGCCCCTAATAGTTGCAACAACCCTGGACAAGAGGAGGGGTCCACCCCGCGGCTCTTCATTTTCCTCGATATTTTTGGAGTCGAACTGTGGTCTACAGCAACGGGCGTAAAACGCGTCGGGAAAGAGGGCTCGTCGTGTCGTTTACTGACCCAATGAATGAGCAGCTACCCGAGCACAAGTGTTTGCTCATTCTGTTAGTTTTGTGAGGCATTTCTGACTTAGTTTGGTCGTTTCTGTCGTTAGTTGCTTAGTAAAGTTTGCCGCTGGATTAGTTAGTGAATGTCAAACGTCAAGACCACAATTGGTGTGACTTAAAACTGCAGTTGTTTGCCACTCGCTGAGGAAAGAGCAGCAGACGGCAGCGTGCCCGGCGCAGGTAGCGCTGTTAAGTATTTGCGACCAACCCTTCAGCCGGAGTCTGAAATTGATCTGGCACCTGTCACGGCTGCTCAGGCTCAGCAGGCGCGGGCGTGACAGATCGCCCGGCAACCTCTCGACACCTGAGGGAGGAGACCCGCGTGACAACGTGTTAGTCAGGCGACACGTGCCGCTTCCGCGACATGTGTCACGGGCCGGCGCCGTGACATTTCAATAAAAATTGCGCGGGTTGCACGGACTTTGCAAGAATGACAAGCACAACGGCCTTTATGTTGACGTTCGGTGTGTATCGCCGGCACTTGGAAATTCATTCCATCGCACGCGGTCGAGCCGCGGCGCCAATAAGAGAAGCCCCGGGTCAACTTCGGCGTCGCGACATGACGCGCGGCGTCAGTCGTTGACGAGACTGGTCGCAGTCGCTTGACAGAACCTGCTGACGCTCCCACGAAGTGGTGGACAACTGCGGGGACGATTCTGCTGACACCTCAGCACATGCCAAACGGCCAGCGCAATCAGATTTTGACGCTTGTTTGTTGGAGGTTTTCTGGGTCAGGTTGTTGCGTACTTGGCTGTTTGGCTTAGCTTAGTTACCGGTAGTCTAAATCACTGCGGTTCAGCTCGTTGGCTTTGCTCAGTTAATCTGGTACGTACGGTATTTAGTCATGTTTGTCTGTGACAAACCAGCCGACCAGCCAATTTACCAATTCTCTACTAACTTACTGTTGTAAGTAACTTCACAGTAAGTTATGACTGCAGCCCTGACTTGCTGGGTTAGATGTGAATTTTTCGGGATGATCAGTTCAATGTTATGACCACACCGCCTCGTTCCCAGATGCAAGTGCAACGGCCACGCCAGCGAGTGCGTGTGGGCGGCGCGTGGTCAAGATGGCGGACACGGGCGCCTGATCTGCGCCTGCCAGCATCACACGGCCGGAGACGACTGCCAGAGATGTCAGCCCTTCTACCAGGAGAGACCCTGGGCCAGGGCCACCGGGGAATCGGCGAATGAATGTCTGCGTAAGTTGGCTTTGCTATTGACAAAGGAAAACCACTTGAAAAACAAACAAGATTGAAGTGCAATCAGAGTCCTCAGTCCAAAAGTTCAAAGTTTGTTTATTCCTCTCGTTAATACCTCAGCGAGGCTTTGTTAGTTTCTCCAAAATGTTAGTTTTAATTACTTAGTTTGCTAGCTGGCTAGCTAGCTAGAAATGCTTCGCAAAACTACCGAAGCGATTCATGGCAAATATGAGTTAGTGAGCTAGCTACTTAGCTAACTAGCTAGTAAGTCAGCTTTAGAAAAAGAACAAGACCGATTCCGGCTAAATGTTACTTAGCGTAGGTGGCAAAGGTTGATCATGCTAGCTACAGAACCGATTCCCATGAAAAATGTGAGTTAGTCACGTGAGTTTTGTCAGTTATTTGTTTGAGTCATGTTTTGTCAAAAGTTGCTCTTTCACTCCGACTGGCGAGAAAATATCGCTCCTAAAACCGTGTCGCGTGTGACCAGCTTAAAGGATGACATGAATTAAAAAGTAAATAACTAAAGGCTGCTGTCGCACATTCTATAAATATGCGGGGATTCTGGAACACACTGTACCTTTGAAGCAGCATCTGTGGCTTTTTTTTTGTGTTGACGCGCACATTTGATGCGGCGTTGCACATCTGTTCGCCAGAAGCATCGGCGGTGCGTGTGAATTGAAGTATTTATCAGTCTTGGCTCATCACGCTTTGACGGAAGGCTGTCAGGGAGGACTCGGAATTGGCTCGCTTTGGGGTTCAGAAAAAAACATCAAGTCGACAAGTCCCCCCCCTCCCCTCCCCCTCTCCCATTCCAAGTCGATTTTGCACTGGGCTTGTTTTTAATTACTCTTCCCCTTAATTCCAAGCAGCAAGCGCTTTAAATAAAACGGCGACTTAATCGGTTCCTTCTAATACTAAATACATCAATGAATCATAGAATGTGAAGTCTGTTGGTTCCGTCTTCGGTCCACAAGTCTTTGTAATTGTGCATTAGCCACCATAATGGTCTTCCGCGTCGGAGGACTTTGTTTATTTTCTGCTAATTTTCATCAACAGAATAATAAACTCCATAATATCTTTTCATTCCGCAACATAAATTTGAGCTGGAGTAACTCCTAATGAATGGGGGGGAGGGGGGGGGAGCAACTCGCTAATAAACGCGTCGTCCCACCCGCACTGGAGTGAATACATTGTTTGGCATACGTTTGTGCTTACCAAGGGACCGCTAAAAAAAAACAACCCCAAAAACAAAAAAAAAACGGTCGTCTCTCAACCGGGCTACTGCCCACCGGACCAAACCCAGAGGAGCCATCCGGAGGCGAGGCGTAGCTCCTGCAGGGTCGCGTTATGCAAATTAAAGAGTGCCGAGAAGCAGCTGACGGGACTCTGATGTGCTGGGCTAAGAGCCTCCAAGGAGACATTAGCGCGCAGCCCCTGAAAGAGCAATGACCATGCGGCCGCCGCTCCGAAAATCGAGCGGCACCTCCCGGTCAGCTTGGTGGAGACGTTCACGTGGATGCTGCTTGGTTTTTAGTCCGCCACTAACCCAGCGCAAACCCTTCTTGGAAACTTCAACATGAATCCCCAAATTCGATCTCCGACACGCGAACTTGAAGCCTCACCCCAAGCTCGGAAGCTTGATTGGCTCGCAAAAACCTTGAGTGGAAAGCCAAACTTGAAATTTGAAGCCTGAACTTGAAGGCCTAGCCCGGGCCCCGAAAAGTTTGACGTTGCTTGAAATTCGGACCCCGGCTTGAAACGCTCTCCCTGGTTTGAAAGCCTCAGCCACTCTTGAAATCCCAATTTCAAGTTCAAACCTGTAACTCGGTCCAAGGCTTTCAAATTCAAACACTCACCCGTGGTTTGAAGCCATCATTTGAGAAAAGCCCAACGGAGGCAACCCTCATTTGAAGCTTCAACTCGTAACCCGGTCTTGCAAGCCAAACCTTTGCAGCCTTACTTTGTAACCCATGTATGAAGCCCCGCACCCTTCAAACTGTCCATTTGCTACCGGGCCTCACCGATCAGTCAAAAATTGTCGGGAGACCCCAAATTGACACCAGCCGCCAACATTTTCCTTTCAAACAAGGCGAGGTGCTTCCGAGTTGGCGTATTAACGTTGAGTGCTGGTGGTGAGGGGGGGTAAGCATATGGCTAACGCTGGCACAACAGAGAGAGCGACAGAGAGAGCTGTAGTCATCATAAAAGGGGCAATTTCACCCAAATCCCCCCCTCGGGTTGGCTGGGCAAAAACTAGATAGAGAGGGATTTGCAGCTGGGAGCTCCGATGCGGCCTTATCAGATGACTAATATGCTCTTGTATCAACACAAATGACAAATTATGCTATCTCCAAGCCCCCCAGCCACCTCCCCGCCAGCCGAGCGGCTCCTCATTAGGCCCGCGTGAAATGAGATTAGCAGCCGGCTTGGAAATGATCACCCAATCCCAGAAAGCCCGCTATCGACGCCGAGATCCCCTCCGCCGGCTGACGAGACGTCTTTCCGCGACCTTCTTTCCGACCTCCTTCCAGGGTGCAACTGCAGCGGCCGCTCGGACCGCTGCGCGTTTGACCTGGAGCAGTACCGCAGCACGGGCAGCGGGGGGCGCTGTCTGGATTGTCGGGACAACACGGATGGCGCGCACTGCGAGCGCTGCCGGGAGAACCACTACAGGGGCTCGCCCGACCAGCCCTGCCTGCCCTGCAACTGCGACGGCAATGGTGAGTTGAAGTTGACTGAAAAGAAAGAAAGAAATCGTGACCAAGGGACATTCGTGTATTTCAAGCAGCCAAATAATCCACCGAAACCTCGTCATTCCAACTAGCAAAGGTCCGCTAGCTTAATGCAAACGTAGCGCCGCCGACAGGCTCATGGAAATTTGAATCACTGCAAAGGGCAATTGCAATTGCAGGCGTGTGCCGTATTCAGCACACGCGATATACACTGAAGCTGTTTTTGTTTTGCCCGAGAGCAAACAACTTGACCAAAACGTGTCCCTGACACAGCACACGTACCTTAACTTCAAACACTTGTTTGCAACCTTAACTTGAGCCCTAGTGCTGCAAACACAACTCGCGTTTGAAAACATCATTTGAAGACGTAACCATCAATGAGGATTTCAAAGAATCCTCATTTGAACCCCTGACAATTGTTTTGAAATCCAAATCTTGAACGAGGTCTGAAACCCTCATTTGAAACCCAAAACTGTTTTTTGAAGCCGTCATTTGAAACCGCACCCAAGCCTGAAACACTCATTTGAAATCCGAAGCCCTTTTTTGGAACCCTAACGCTGGCTTGACACCCTATCCAGAAAACCAGAGCCTGGAGTTCAAACCCTAATTTGTAACACTAGCCCTTGTTTTAAAACCAAGATGTGAAATCCTGACCCAGGCTCGACTCCCGAATTGGAGACTTTTTGGAAATCCGAACCCTGGTTTGAAACCCCACCCATTGTTCTGAAACCTAAATATGAAACCCTCATTTCAAATCCTCACTCAAGCTCAAAAGCAGAATTGGAAAGCATAACACAAAGCATGACAGCCTAAGAGTCCCCCGGAAGCCAAATTTGAAACCCTAACCCGAAAAGTGAAGTATTTCATTTGACACCAAAAGGCAGGCTTTCTCCTGGCACAGGCCGGCAATACAGCGACGCAATTCCTCCGAGCCGCCAGGCGATTGTCCCGTCGATCGATCGGCGGCGATAACAGACTCCATCCTCCGTGCGATCCGGCGCCGGCCGCAATGCCCCGGTCGCTCTTTTCTCTCCATTAACCAGAGCGGGCGGCGCGGCCGAATAATTTCCCGCTCGTCCCGGCCGCCTCTTTCGTTAACGCAAATCCAATAGCAGGTGTTCTGTTATTCCCGGAATTGATTAAGCAGGCATTGACCGCTTACGGCTCGCCATTTTCTCTCTCTCTTATGTCTTTCCGCCATAGCGCGTGCAGCGGCCGAGGCGTGACGGGGGACAAGTGTGACACATGTCGCCCGGGATTCCACTCGCTCGGCCCGGGCGGCTGCAGGTGAGCGGCAACAAAACCGCCGGCGTTCCATTTGTGTTCATTGTTCCGAGTCGTATTTTCTTTCTTTTCTGATCATCTGCAATTCCCTTTCAGCAACAGCGAGGCAGCGGCAATTTGGTCCGAATGTGTTTGGAGCAAATTTGGGAGACCTGCTCCGAGCTTGAGTCCAGATAGCATTTTCCCCAAACTCCGGCAGGCGCGTCGGGATCACGATGTTTGTTTGTTGACGATTTCCAAACAAGCTGCATGTTTACGGATTTTACATGAAGGGGAAGCGAGCAGTACACCCAACAGCATTAGCACCTGCAACACGTTTGCATAAGAGCATTAGTCAGGGGCTCACATTAGCATATTTTTAGAAGCAAATCCCGCCGCTGCGGCTGACTGTGCGTCACGTGCAACCGAAAATGTTTTCAGGCAGCTTCTCATCATTTTTTTTCTCCCCCCCCCCCCGCTCCCCAACTGCCTCGCCCACCCGCTGCGCCGCAGTTGCTTACGCGTCGCAGCGCACGTACGCGCGCGCGTGCGGATGACCTCTGACCAAACCTGCTTGTTGCCATGGCGACCTCATCCGTCAGCTAAAGTTCGGTGGAGAGATGGAGACGCGGGAGAAAAATATGATCCTCCCTCGTCAACCGCCCCTGCCCGGGGAAAACCGACGGAAGCCATTTTGAATCCAATTTGGCTCGGACGTTGGAGGTAGCAGGACGCGCGTCTTTGATCCTGGTCGAGGGATTCTCCACGAGCTCGCCAATTCGGAAGAAGTCGAGCAATGACCGAGAGTAGAACGGGCGAATCTTGGAGCCTGTTGCAATTCTCAATTGTCGGAGCGAGAATTCTGTTCACCCCAAATGAGCTTCCGTCCTTGGTTTCAAATTGAAACGGCTAACTTTTCAGGCGTGGTGCTGGAGGCTTTTTTTTTTTTGGTTTGTTTTTGTGCATCTGATCATGATAGTCGTGCCTACCAAATTGGATGGGGTGAAATCAAACTGCGTTGAGGGGATTTTCAAAACATGAATGTCAGAGCAAATCAAACGAAAGAGGGATTACATTTGGCTTTTGTTTGCTATTCAATGTTTTTATTTTGGGGGTGGGGGTGATATTTCCTCCAATCCTACATGGAACATGCACGTTAAACAGACATAGGAGCACGCCGAAGCATCACACGTTGCCTTACCTGATGGCTATTTATTACACGGATTAGATTTAGCGAAACGCGGGGAGACGGACGACTCCCTGACTGCACACACGCAGAGCGCTTTCCGTCATAGATGCTGAAAAATCAGGCGGCTGAGCAGCAGTGTGAATTATTCAGCCCGCTGGAGCAGAAACAAAGGGAGACGACTTTGCTGGGAGATAATTAAATTATTTGCAATAGCGCCTCTCATTAAAATTAGATTTGCTGTTCCAAACAAAAGCAATCAATCGCAAAAAAGGCCGCCGAGCACCTAGCGCCCCCCCACCCGCACACCCACCCCCGCTCCTAGCCCCCCTCCCCACCCCCTTTCTTCTTTTGGGGCGCCTCACTGACTGCTTTTTGTGGATTTGCTTTCCACAGACCGTGCGAGTGCACCCCCGGTGGCAGCGTGGGCGACTGCTCGCCGCTGGACGGCGCCTGTCGCTGCAAGGCCAACGCCGAGGGGGGAGGCTGCGGCAGGTGAGGCTCCGCGCGCACCTTCGTGGTTGCTGCTGATGTCGTTGGCTCTGACTCATATATCAGCCAAGCGAGCAAAAACACGAGGAATTGACTTTCCCAGTTCGCACCCGGCTAGAGGAGCATCAACAAGACCACAATGACCAACGGGGGGAGACACGAAGACTCGAAGCCTGGCCGTTTGCTGTTTAGCGCCCCGATATCAAGGAAGGGGGAAAAAAACTTGACAGACTCCAACCATTCTCCTTCAGTGGGAGGGTGGTTTGAACCTGAGACCCCCCCGCCCCCTCAATTTCAATCAATTTCCCAGGCCGATCCAACGACTCCCCGTTCTTTTCCATTTTGCGAAGCGACTCCGACACCGCACCCGCTTTGCGATGGAGTTGGTTCGACGCATGAGTCTGAGCGTTGATCCCCCGCCCCCTCCTTGTAGGCCGTCAGCTCGTTTCCTTCCAATGAAGCGGCTCCCGCCGGCTGAATTTCGCAATGGACCAGGAAACCGCCAACGCCAACCAGCGGGCTACCTGTTATCAAAAGGCCAATAATGGCGACGGACAATATTGCCGGGCGAAGCGGTCTCCGTTTCCGCCAAGGATCTCGGGTCTCCCCAGAAGCAAATGTCCCAGAGGCGCAAAAAGGCTCCCCAGCGCCTGTTCTTTTGAGCGGGGAAAATGTTCTCCCTATCCAATGTTATCCAGCTGACTAATTCCGCGGTTTGTTTTTCCTGAAAGGAAAATAACGGCCGAAGGCTTGTCAAGCCAGCACATTTGACATTATTCGGCGTAAACATCGAGTGCGCCCCCATCGTTCTCTCTGTGAGTGATTTTCTTCAGGCTTCCGGATAGCAGCGGTAGTTGTGACCTGACAGAAAGTTGGGAGCGCCGTCTTGGCGCTTTGGCCCCCTGGGGTGGCAGTCACAATGCTCTTTGCGCTATTATGCCGAAGGCGCGCGCCTCGAAACTCAGCCATGTCCTTGTACTATAAAGAGACATTAAAAAAAAAAAAAAATCACTTGAAAATCTGTGACAGAGCGAAGAGTGCGAACAGTGGGCAGCGCTAATCTACTTGACCTCACATGGCCGGCTTAGTTGGCTTTCGCACATGGACGGCTCCATTTGACTCCCTGTAGGTTGCAGCGCCTTGCAGCTGCGTTCCATTTCAACCCAAAACGCACCAACGCGGCCTTGGTCAAAGGAAAAAAATACACTCAAAGATGTCGGCGAATGGGGGGTTTTTGAGTAACTGTGTGCGTGCGCGCAGGTGCAAGCCAGGCTTCTTCAACCTGCAAGAAAGCAACCCGGCGGGCTGCCAGCCGTGTTTCTGCTTCGGTCACTCGCTGGCGTGCTCCTCGTCCGCTCGCTTTCTGGCCGTCAACATCACTTCGGATTTCATGGAAGGTAAACGTATCTGGCGGGCCGGATATTTTGCCGTTGACTTTTGCTACGTTTGGCGAAAGCCAGCTCCAGGCTAGCGTATTGTCGGCGTGGGATCAAGTGGGAGGACGCGTCGCAAGTCTGCTGTTTTGGTTCAAAGGAAAAAAAAGAATACACTCGTACGCACTTGTGCAACAATTGTGCACTCATCATAAAAGACAGAGCTGCCAGATCTCAGAAGTGACTTCCAAACTTGCCGGGTTGACTTGGCAACGCAAAAACTCGTTGACACAATTCACTTGCCTGCAATCGAAGTCGGCTTAAGTTGGCAGCGTAACTTAACTTGGGAGCCGTGTGAATCGCGACTATACACACCAAAAAAAAGTCTCAAGATGCCTTGGCTGAAAAGTCACCTGGGGCCTGATGCTTTTGCGGGCTGAAGGGCTGCATGGGCCACTGTAACGCGCCGTGCAACGCCGCCCGCTAAATTCCCAAACACGGCAAACTCCAGGAAGTCCAGGCTAGCGTTTCGGCGCCGCTTGTTTGACCCGCATCAAGTGGGAGGACGCGTCGCAAGTCTGCTGTTTTGGTTCAAAGGAAAAAAAAGAATACACTCGTACGCACTTGTGCAACAATTGTGCACTCATCATAAAAGACGGAGCTGCCAGATCTCAGAAATGGCTTTCAAAATTCTTGGAAAATTCAGCACCCGGAGCCGGGTTGACTTGGCAACGCAAAAACTCGTTGACACAATTCACTTGCCTGCAATCGAAGTCGGCTTAAGTTGGCAGCGTAACTTAACTTGGGAGCCGTGTGAATCGCGACTATACACACCAAAAAAAAGTCTCAAGATGCCTTGGCTGAAAAGTCACCTGGGGCCTGATGCTTTTGCGGGCTGAAGGGCTGCATGGGCCACTGTAACGCCCGGTGCAACGCCGACCGCTAAATTCCCAAACGCGGCAAACTCCAGGAAGTAGACTTGCCCCGGAATGCAAATGCCGATGCGCACGGGCGCCTGTCTGTGAAGATAGGGCCCTTGGAGTTGGGTTTCAAGCGAGCATACTGATCTTCTTTTCGCCATTTCTGGGGCTCTTTCAAATGTCCAATTGCTATTGAATTGAACCACTTTTTTCTTGACACAAAATTGGGAAGAATCTCCGAACCAAACGTGCCGCGTCCGGTACCCGTCGGCCCGGTGCGTGCATCTTGTGATCTTCTTGACTCCCTTTCTGGCGAAAAACCAAGCGCTACTGTCCGCTCTCTTCTCGGCTCCAGATCAGGACGGCTGGCTGGGCGAGTTCTCCGGCGGTCGGCTTGACGCCCTGCTGTGGAAGGAGGGCGAAATCTATTTGCTGCCCCTCTCCGAGGAGGACCCCGGCTTCTTCAGAGCCCCGGGTGAGTGCCGCGAGAAAACCATCGGACGCCATCGTCGCCCCGGTGGCGGAGTTCCGGTCCGCGGGAATGTGATTATCTTATTTTTAGAGAGTAAACACCCCCGCCGTCGTCAAGATGGGATTGACGCGGGCTTTAGCCGCCGTCTGTAATATGCTCGCCTCGTATCTGTTGTTCCCAAGATTAATTGTGGCATTTGGCAGCGGGTCCGACTGCGGATATTCCGTCCGCCCGTCAGCCCTCCAATCCTTTATCGGAACCATTAGAAGATAAGGGAATAAGCCGGCCCCCGCCGCAGGATTTTCGGGGCTCGTTTCTATCGGCCGCCCCAGCGGCGAAGGCCTGACGGAATTGACCGCGTTTGGAGAGGCTACAAAGTGGAAATTGGCTGCGTCGCCAAATCGGCTTCTCGCCGCCAAGCGCGCGAGGAGCCTCCGGCGGGGCCCCGCCGTCTGCAGCCACAAGCAAAACACGCACAAGCCCGTTAAACGATGCCTCCTCCGGGAGGGTTTCCGCCGAAATTGCCGCGACGCCGACAGCGCTGTTGGACGCCGCCGGCTGCCGTCTTTGCAAAGTCCTGTTGCAATCGGGCCACTCGAGATTTGAAAAAAAAAGAAAACGCAGATTTTTCTCTATGTTGTGAAATTAAACTAATACGAAAGGACAAATGATGGAAAAAAAATCTTGCGTCTGTAATTTGTAGATTTTTTTTTGTTGTTTAGGGACCAAAAAAGACGTTATGTTATTTATTACGTATATATACTTCTCAATGAATTGTCCGATTCGTCGGTGATCAGAATATTATACTGGCCTCCAAAAATCTCGAGCAGTCAGGCTCATATTTTTGGGATGTAGGCCGGTCGGGATGGTACGGTCACGGAACGACGTCGCCAACGTATCGCTATTTTTAGGTTGGGTTTTTGTGGGGTGGTTTGGGGCTATTTGCAGCCCAACTACTGAGATTAGAGTGCGCGCAAATATTGCTCACGTGTCTTCTATTCCGTTGCAACAAAAAGGCGCTTTTCTGTGTCAGATCTACGGGAATGCATTGCTGTTTGCCCCCCCCGCACCCCAGGACAGGATTCCATCCATCCTTTTTATTAAGAAAGTCGAAACGGGCCAAAGACGGGTCTTAGTGATCCCTCCCCACTCCTCCGTAGACATAAGCCGACACTCGGCGGGACCGCGCGTCACGCTCGTAGGCTCCCAAATGGCGGCTGACAAGTGGGTGTCGGACTTGGCGGCGACAGTTCCGCGGTTAGCGCGAAAGGAAGACGGGTGGGGGTGGCAGGATCTCATTTTGCTCACTGCGTCCTCAGTGACAATCGGCAGCCGCTGTCGCAATTGGGCAGGCCGTGGCCGCTGCCGACGGTTTTGCCCGTTTGGAATCAACACTTGCTTTACGTCACCATTCCAAATTTCCACTTTTAGCAGGTTGCATCGGGGATTCGCTGTATGCTAAAAAAAAAAAAAAAAAGATGAAAATTTCGCATGCATAAGTTCAGTCATGGACATGATGAATATTTGGTCTTCAATTTTGCTGTCTTTTAATTGCAGTGGCTTGGCGCGAAACCAAATTTCAACGTGAGACAACAGGCCGTTTTCCATTCATTTTGCGCTTCCTTCTTTCATCGCGGCGATTTTCGCACAGCGCGTCCGTACGCGGCGATCTGAAGTCATCGTTAGCGACCGGTGGGAATGTCTGTCAAAGGGCTTGAACGTACGTACGGGCGGGCCTTTGAAACCCAAGGCGCTTGGCTTTGACCCGGGCGTGATGGCGTCCTGATCCCGGACATCTGCTGGATCCTTGAAACGGGCGGAGTCGGGGTCCCCCGCGCCGGACCGACCGGTGCGGAGCAGCTGCCGAGGCTTTGCGGTGAGCGTGATCAGCTGCTCGCTGTTCGCGGCGGTGCCAAGGAGGGTGGAGAGGTGGCGGTCCTCTCGCTTGAGTCCTTGCGGCAATCGGGCTCGGAAAGGAAAGTGCCCCGGAGGGTCGCTTCGGACGAAAAAATCTCTCTGGCGGAAGACAAACGCATATACAGGCAAAGGACAAGCAAACAGTTTCCCACATTTGATCAAACCTCAAAGAATGACTACAATTGATAAAAATGCAACCATCAAATGATGATGATGTATGTCGAAGATACGTTTCTTTTTCCTAGCTCGAAGATGAGGAAAAAAAAAAACCCAAAACCAACCACCAACAAGCCAAAAATGCTGACATGGTCTTCTCCCGCAGACAAATTTGTGGGGGACCTGAGCCGCAGCTACCTGCAGCTCCTCTCCATCACCTTCACCTCCGAGTCGGCGCAACTGCTTCCCGAGCGCATCGCCGTGCTCCTCGACGGCTCCGGAATCACACTCGCGACCGAACTCCTGGCCGGCCCCGCGCGACGCGCCGACCCCGGCCTCTCGCCGCGCAAAACCTTTGTCCTCAGGTATGAAACGCCGCAACCAAAAATGAGAAAAAGGGGGATGCACGGCTGTGGACAGATGAATTTGTGTGTGTGTGTGTGTGTAGAATACTGCAGTGGCTGCAACGCCCTCCCGGCAGACCATCTGTGCGGGGAAGGTGCGCGTGTTGTTCACAGAGAGCTGCCGCGTGACATGACTTTTTCATTTCTTTTTTTTTTTTTTTCTTCTTGCGCGTGTTCTCGGCCTTGTCCTCAACATGCCCATGCTCAGAATGGGAATCGGTTCGCCACAGGCAAGAAGAAATTCGCTGGCGTTTGGGGCAGGCACAAAAGGGAAACGTACACGTGTGGTCACTCCACAATGTTGTGTGTGTGTGTGCGCGCTTCAGTTGTCGTGATCCCTTTTGATTGACATGAAGGGCACATTTCAACAGAGCGAGCGCTGCCATGTCATTCGTGTCGTGAATTAGCTGCTCGGCTGGATGTTTGTCGCGAGGCACCCCCAAATGTGGCCCACATGCTGGTGGAATGTAATGACCGCAGGACACTCACACACACGCACGCGCGCACACGCACACACACACACACACACGCACGCACGCACGCACGCACAAGGAGGTGCCGGTTAACAGAGCTGATTAGTTGTGCGAGGCAGGCAGTGGAGCGAACCCGTGAAGAAGTTCTCTGCAGGTCTCATTAGACTCCTCACATCATCTTCGCTTCGCCTTACAATTTTGCGCAATGCCCCACACCCCCCCCCCAAAAAAAAAAAACCCACTCCCGTACCACTTCGTCTGTCACGCACTTATGCTCACAAAAAATGTACACATTCTAAAAAGAAAAAAAAAAAGAAAACCAAAGCGTTTCTATTCGTTCAGAAACGTTCCAATTGATGTCCTGCGATTTTCTTTGGGCTGCTATTTTTGCGACTTGATTGTTGACCGTGCAGATCTGCTGCCCTTTTGAAAATGTTGTCCTTTTGGCATCGTAAATGCTGATTTACAATGCGAGCGAACGCCATTTGTTTTTATGGAGTCGTGGTGCGTACTGCTGTGTTGTTTCTTCGTACGCATGCTACCATTTTCTTTTCACTCCCGATGAGATATCCAATTTCGTGTTCCCAAGTACTATTCTTGAAATCAATCAAACCTGTGCTAACTTTTTTTTTTTGGAATTGCAATATATGTCATACCCTTGGAGAAACTGCAGCCGAATGCGCACGATTCATCGGGCGTCCTTCTGTCGCCGCAATATCCCGAACAATCGAAGGCGTCGCGCGCGGCCTGCAAATAAGAGTGTCGACGAGGCGCCCTGATTGATCAACGGAAGCGCCGAGCGCACACACGATGAACGCAGGCACGCCGCTCTCTTGACTGACAGCCCACCAATTGCCGCGCGGTAAATATGTTAACCGGTTAAGCGGCGGCGCGCCCCAGCCGGCTCAAAGATCATCGCGCCATCGCGGCGGGCCGACGACGGATTAAATGGAGGCGCGAGGATTGGAGCCGAGGGCCGGGAGATAAGACGGCGAGATGATTGGTTGGCGGGAGCGGGCGCGGGGTGCTGCCCTCTTTTCCTTTTTGGATGCCGCACTCCATTAAAAAAAATTGCTGAACGTTAAAGGAAGTACAGTGAGCCCTTGTTTATTGCCAGGGATTACATTTTAGACCAGCTTGCAAGAAATGACCATGAACGGTGGATATATGTGAATGTGCGTGGGTGTGTGTGGGTGCACACACACACATATATATCCACACACACAGAGAATTTTTTTTTTTGTGTGTGTGGGAGCTTCAGCAATATTCATTTCAATCAACATAACATCTGCTTAATACAACGCATATGAAAGTTGGATGGAAAATGTGCAACTTTTTCAACTAACTAAGTGGCAAGAATGAAGAATGGCAAAGTAGCAGGTGTTCACTGTACCGTACTCGCTGTTCTCCGTCTTCGGGGAAGGAGCTGACGCCGCACCTGCGCCAGCGGCGTTGAAACGCACGGCACTGCGGTCGACGTATGCGACGCGTCGCCGCGCGGCATTCACAGATCATCCGGCAGCCGTCGAGAGCCCCGAAGACGTCAAAGTCAGCACATTTGCATCCCCCAGTTCCGCGTCAGCCGCATAACGTGCGCGGCGGTGAACTTGTAATCATCCCCAAATGTGAAGATTACCGGCGCGGTGCGGCTATAGCGTGATCAAAGAGACGCGACGCATCTGCCATTTAATCTGCGGGAAACTAAGAGGATGTGTTCTGGTGTCGTCGCAGGCTTGATGAGAGCCAGATGACACCGAAGCTGTCGGCCTTGGAGTTTCGCCGGCTCCTGTACAACGTGACGGCGCTGCGCATCAGCAACGCCGGAGGACTCAACTGTAAGTTACCCGACGTCAAGTGCGGTGGCGCCTTGACATACGAACCGATGTTGCGATGGCTTCTTTTTTTGGGGGGGGGCTTTGACTTGCAAGTAAAAATAAATAAATGGAGCTGCAAGCTTCACAATGTTGGCAAGTGAGAAACAAAGAGTGTCATGAAAGCAACTTTGGCTTCAAGTGGGCTGGCTTAATGCGAACACGTAATGGGAAACGGCCAGAGGCCGCTTCCTGAACTGTGTTGCGACGTTATGACACTTTTAGGAACGGATGTTGAAAAACAACTGCCGCAGCAACCACATGGATAGCCCGCAGGCCATGTCTGATTTTATTTGTGTGGCTTTTCCTGCCCCCCCCCCACCCCCAAAAAGTGTTTTTCTAGATCGCTTAAAAACAACCGTACAGAGCGCTGTACATGAAGCAAATATCATTTATACAACAATCAACAATCAAACAATCAATGAATAACAAAGAGGGTAGAAAGCACAAAAAGAGTCCAATGAAAAATCAAGTCCGAGTCATGCTGAGTCAAAAGCCAAAGAACAGAAATAAGTTTGAAGACGCGTTTGAAAGATGGGCAGCGAGGGGGCTTGCCGAACGGAGAGGGAGCGGCATCACGAAATGGACTTTTCTTCAACTTTCTCACATCGCCTCCCCCCCCCACCCCCCAAGAAGCTTATCCCCCCCCCCACCCCCAAAGAAGTTTAACCTGGAAAACGGCACTCCCGCTCGTTGCTGGAGTGTCGGAAACAATGTATGTTTTTTTTTTTTTCTGGGACATTTCCTCGTGGAGCCGACGTTTCAGTCACATGCTCATCAATAATTGGAATGCGGCAGAAAGGATTTGAGCAGAAAATGTTAAAAGCGGAGAACACGGCGAGCTGCTACCGAGTGCAAAAAAAAAAAAAAAAAAGAGGACGCTTATTCCCAAATGTTGCTCACTCGTTCTAGAAACATTTCGGGTGCCTCCTTTTCTTCAGCTCCGTTCCGATTGGATGCCATTTGGAGAAAGGCCTCGACAAACAGGCGTGCACTCGACCAAAAAGAGCACGTCGAACATCATCGCGCACTCAGACGACATGACCAGAGCTCACGCCGTGAAATCACAGCCGTAGCTGTCGTAGGCAGATACGGCCACGCGGAGCGAATGTCCGCTTCTGCAACAGTGGCCGTCGCGTTTCGTCGCCTTCGATGGGGAAAGCGGGCCTTGTCGTCATGGCCGCTTCTGAAACTCACCGACTTTGGAGTGGACCGGACGCTATTTTCCGTATTTTCAATCCAGAAGCTTCAGTCAATTGAGCTACGTCCGTATCATACTGCCCCCAGGTGGTCAAGGCGCACGCACGCACGCACGCACGCACGCACCCCCTCGAGGGAGCAGCACAGTGTCCATTGAACTGAAGCAAAAATAATGTGAGGTTTAATTCTTGACACTTTGTTCAATTATGTGTTGAGCCAACATGTCATGTTGCCGCATGAGGACACTTGTTCCCAAGTTGGTGCCCATTAAAAGCGGCCCGACACGAATGTCAGGAAACGAGTGGCAGCGACGTGGCCGGCCGTTGGGCCGTCATCATTTTTCATGGGATTTCTCCTCCCCGTCCCGCACGTCCGAGGAGCGCCCCGTTGTTTCCCTCCCGCCGAGGCGTGACTCGCGCTCAGTGGTCCCGTTTCGCCGGAGACGGATGAAAACCATTGGCGGCGTAATGAGGGCGACCCGAGCGAAGAAGGCGGAGCGTGACCGCTTCTAACGAGCGGCCGTGCCGACATTCCGTCCGTTTTAATGAACGGCCACTTGGTTTGCGGCGCGGCGGGATAATAAGACGGGCCTTGCCTGTCCTCCTCCTCCTCGGCGGCGGCGGCGCGCCTCTCAACCTCCGGCCTTTCCCTCCGGAATTTTAATAGCGCCACTGAGAAGTGAGTCCAAAGTGTGAAATGTGGCTCGTTTTCAACACACAAATTCAAAGTTAATGGACGCTCTTCATCAGTCGTGCATGTCGAATTCCATTTTTGGATTTGAATTGCGTAGGATGTTCAGCCCAGTCATTAAAATAACGACAGGCAGCTCTCTCGTTCTCTGCGCGCTGTTAGCGGAGGGGAGTTCAAGAGAGCAGAAAGGTGGCAGAGGAGAGCAGCGGGAAGGAATTTCGATTTCGAGAAGCAAGTTTGAGCCAGATGATGCGTCTGCCCCAAAGCGACGAGAAAATCCAGAGTCTGGCAGCTGCAAGATGCGGCGGTGGCACGGCGCCGGAGTGGTTAGCGCGTCCGCTTCGCATTCCTCAGGGTTAGGGTTGGAATCTCGGTCTCGCATTGGGATCTCTCACTTGAGTGTAATTTCACAGTCCGCCACTGTGAAGGCTTCTCTCTCACCTCGGATGAATTGTAGTTGTTCAAGAGGTGCGAATTGTTGTTTGTCTACACGCGGCAACCAGTCTGAGGTGTACGACCCCTCCTCTCGTCTTAGCAGGTGACCCATTCGGGCCGCACGGCACCAAAAATCATCTCACGTTCACACGCAAGTCCCCAAATTGCCAGGTGAGCGTGAACGTTTAGTTGTCTCGGCGTCCCCTGCGATCGGTTGCCACCTCGTCCAGGGTGCACCCCGCTTCTCTCTCCCGGGCTCGACTCCAGCTCGCCTCTAATTCCGAGAAGGCATCGCAAATGGTTGGATGAATTTTCTATCGGCTTTTGTGTCGTGCGCAGACACATCGCAGCTGGCGGGCGTCCATCTGGTCTCTGCATCCCCCGCCGCCGGCGGGACGGCGCCCCCCGCCTCCTGGGTGGAAAGCTGCACCTGTCCCAGCGGCTACGTCGGCCACCTCTGCGAGCGATGCGCGGCCGGATTCACCCGGGAGGTCCCGAACGGCGGCCCCTTTTCCACGTGTGTCCCGTGCGACTGCCATCAGCATGGAACTTGCCACCCGGAGACTGGTAAGCAATCGACTTGTTACGGCAAGTTATCGACTTCCATCCGAAGCCATTTTAGACGTGGCTTTGGCCCGAGCAGCGCTTCACTTTACAGTTGCCCCTAAAAATGATCTCATTTTTGTTGTTGTTGTTGTAGTTTTGTGGTCTCTTGGAGGAATCCGTAATCCCTTCTTGACGTAAATCGAATAGTCGGATGCGGAAAATCTCCCCCACGATGAACTTTAAACCATCAGTGTGACACTTTGTTTTTTTCCCCAACCGAATTCGCTTTTCGGGCTTTGGGTTTGTCGCTTTTCTGATTCACTTCCCGCAGGCGATGTCCTGTAAAATAGTCAAGCGGCAGCTGTTGGGCGGGCGGCACAAACACCCCGAGCTTCATTTATTTATTTGGACGCGCATGTGCGAGGCCTCCCCGGAGCGTCTTTCACGCAATGTCGCTCTCGCAAGTGGAGAATGGCGCCAAAAAGAGAAGAGGCAAGCATCACCCCCCCCCTTTTTTTGGGGGCGGGGGAGGGAGTATTTCTCTCATCTTTTATCTTTCCTCAATCTCGACCCAGTTAGCAGACGCCGGCAGCTTTGCTTACGTTGTGTTTGTAATCAAGACCGGCACGGGATTCTAATACGGTGATTTGGATTCATTAATAACGGGGGGAGGGGGGCACAAAAGCGATTAGAACCTGTTTGATAGCACTTTTGGGTTGGTGCGCTAATCGACTGAAATTTGAGGTTGTACTGTCGCTATTGGTATTAGCGTTGCCTGACTGACTTTTTCGTCTTGAGTTGTTTTAACGGCAGCAGTTTGAAAGCACGCACGCGGCACCTATGGGACACAACTGGAACAGCAACCGCTGCTGCGTATATTTCAATGCGGAATGATTGTGTGAAGAAACAAGTCCTCAATTGATTTTGATCCGTGACAAAAGCCTCATTAAATTGCTGGTCTTCCCGCACTGTTTTTTCTGACGGCGCGCGTGCCATGAGCGCCTGATGAAACCGGTTCGCCGTCTCGCCGCCGACCGCGTCTCATTTGCTTGCGCGTTCCGTGCGGCTCTTCGTGTCGCGGGAGGCTTTTTTTTTTTTTTTTTTTTTCCTCCCCAAAACACTGGCTGGCTTGTTCCTGCTCTTTTTCATCTTTCTTCGTTCTCGTTGCACCTGCTCATCGCTTCGTCTTCATCGTGCGGCACTTCCTGAGCGCTGCTGTCTTTTTCTCTCCGGCCTGCCCTTCGTGTGTTTGGTCGCTGTGGGGGGTGGGAGGGGGGAGGGGGGCACTCAAGGGTAAAGGCATTCCAGGATGTCATTAGAATTTGCGGTTATCAAAGATCAGGTCTACTTGGTGGAGCTAAGGGCTGAGTAAATGTGCAAACCAAAACAGCAGCACCGAGCAAGTGGCCGTAGTGAAGATAAGATGATCAAATGTTGAAACATGGTTTCCGCGGAGTCCCGGTGCTGACAGAAGGCTGATATTTGATCATCGCTCCATGTTGTGTGAATTAAGTTTACCTCCACGTTTTCTACAGTCCCCGTTTACAATCTAGATGGACTAATACTTGCCGGCTCAAATCCTTCTCGATACCAAGTCAGGAATCCAGTTGAATTTGTCATTTGTTTGACTTCAGACAGGACAAAGAAGTCGTTTTTTTTTCTTTTTTGAGTGGGGGGTGGTCACAGTTGTTGTGACAAAAGTTCAATCCTGACTTTGTCGACAATGGCGCATAAAGCTAATGCGCTAACTATAGCCACACGCTCCCACTTTGAAGATATTTACATGCCGCTTGTAGCGTGCATGCAAATGAGGAAACGCGTACGCAATGTGGAGCGCTCGGTGTCCCTTTGAGTCGCGCTGAACACCAATCCCGCGGGTTGTCCTTTAGCGCCAGGCTATGGAAAGCCGCTAGCTAAAATTAGCCTCGGCTTGTCGCTGGGCTTCAGTTTGGCTGCACAAAGAACTGAAAATGCTGTCAAGGGAGTCGGTAAGGCATGACCGACCTGCGGTTCCTCCACCCGGAATCCTAATCGCCGTGTGATCGTGGGAGGAGCCGGAACGTGATCTGGGGAGTGGAATTTATTCCACCTCTGTGGCGGGAAGTCGGCGCGTCCTAATCGTGATTTATGAACACTCGCGCCGCTTCTGTTTGCCGTCGTGCAACAGCAGCACCTTGTGAAAGGTTAACATTCATCCCAGAAATGAGCAATGTTGCCGCAGCCTCATGATTGAACTTTGATCTCCGCCCAGAGGCTAACGACATTCGGAACATACTCGGGACCCCGCCTCCGTCCGAAGCAGCCCAGCGGACGACGCTTGACCGCTTTCCCGTCTTTGTCGGCTTCCTGCCCGGACCGTTCGCACCGATGGCCTCAGAGAGACGGCTTTTGAGAAGGGAGGGGACTCTTTTGTTGGTAAACATTGAGTCACCGGCTAGCATGCTAATGAGCCCGGTGTTTGCTTCTCCATTCATTGATGCAATGAGACAGGTCTTCTCCTTTTGAAGGCAGTTCTCTTCTTTTTCTCACTGCTTTTGCTTCACTAAGAGCCCCTTAAAAAAAAAAAGTCAACTTGTGTTTCTTGGCGTCTTCGGCCAGACTGCAGCACTTGTGACATTTAAGCCATGCAAAACAGCCGCTCATTGTTCCCGCTCCCCGACCCACTCCCGCGGCCCCCGAAAAGTTGGCCTCGCGCAAATGTCAACGTGACAAACAAGTATGTGCTGAACTCCGGACTGTAAGAATGTTATTTATTTGTTTGTTTGGGCTTTTGTCCGCTTCTGGGCCCGTGTGGTTAGCAGAAGGCTGCGACTGATGGATGAGCGCAAAAGCTGCAAACAAATCAGAGCATCGGAGGCGGGGGCAGAGTTATTGCGTCTTTACCTTGTTTTGCCAGTTGACTCTGAATCCCGGGATGTTTTGTCCTTCCCCGACCTTTATTAGTTTTGTTTGATTTGCGGTAAGTTATTAAAGTTCACCGGCACGCTCCACCCACATATGCAATGAAAACTCAAATGTTGCGCACTTTAGCTTCACCCATCTGGCCAGTATTAGCGTTCGCATATTTAGCACTCGGACTGTCGGACGAGTTCCTCTTCGAAGGACCCTCGGAGATGGTCAAAATGACTCTAAAATGGCTGCTGCGAGCCAAAATGGCTGACCTCCCGTGCATGGCTTCTTGAGATGGTTTTGTGGGTCCCCCCTTGAAAGACATGCCTACCACATTTGTTGTTTCAAAGTGAAAGTGGCTTTGCAGGCTGAATTCCCTCCCCCAAATCCGAGGAGGGACATCACACGCCAAAATGGCCACACAACTAAATAATTGTCTTTGTAGGCGTGGCTTCTACTCATGATGGACATGGCCAACAGAGAGTATTTGACTCAGTTGAAGTGTCTTTGGTGGGATTCATTTAAAAAGAGAAACTCAGTATATGGGATAGTGGCGGAAAAATGTAAAATGCTCTTTTTTTGGGGGGGGGGGGGTATCAGCCATCATCCTACAGCTTGTTTGCAGCTAAGTGAGCTGGCACTAAACCCGAGGCGACCTCATTATGGTTTGGAGGCAGGAAATCCCAGCCAGTCTGAGCCCAGTCGAAAGCTTTCTGGAAAGCGGCCGCGGGGTTAGGACGGGTCGGCCGGTCCCGTAGGTCGATGCGGTCGCTCTGCCGGGATCTTCTTTAATGAGTCTGCAGGAGAGAGACGCTCCCGACGGTGCAGGCGGGAGGTGGAGCGGGGAATTCGCTTTTCAGAGTGGGTCCTGTTCCCAGACGTGCAGGAGGAGGACCTTAGCCTCACATAATAAACAAACTAAGAGTGCATACTGTAACCAGCCTTGTTCGTTTAGCTTAGCTTGGTAAGGATTCTTTCTCCACAGATATGCAAAATTTGAAATCATAAACACATCACTAGCTTTGGTTTTCTTTATTTTATTTTTTTTACAAACACAGATCGTACCGTGGCCTTGGAATGCAAGCCCTGTTTACTTAGCTCGTCCCATGGGAGTTAATTTGGCCCCATAATATTCAAATTAGACACCCGCAACCACAAAAACAGAGCTAGCCCATTTCGCTTCTCAGGCTAAGCGTGCTAATGCTACAGACAGCAACCTGACCTCCTAACATTAGCATTTTGTTGAAAACAGAAGCACGTCGCTTGCCTCGTTCACTTAGCTAGCTCCGTAGATGCTAACTTGGCTCCGTAATGTTAGCTTTAGGCCTACACAAACATTGCATCCGAGAGCCGAGCTAGCCCCATGGACAGTTATGTATGGGGATGTTAGAGGTTTCTTTCAGTCAAATCAGGTCTGTTGCCATGTTTCATCGAACCCCTCAAAAAACGGTCTCAGAATGACAATGGCGGTGGCGCGAAGCCCTTCGCCCGCTCAGTCATCTTCACACACAGTAAAGTCAGCACATTTCTGCCACCGTTAAATTCATCACGCCTCATCGGGGATCCATACTGCACTCACAGCCGCCCGCCGGCGATGTCATAGCTTTGCCATTTATTGTGAAAACAATTCTTAACCCCCTTTGGGCAAAAAAAAAAAAAAAGGAAAGAAAATCTATGAAGCAGTCGTGTTCGGCGGAGCCGCCAAGTCGTTTTAGGTTAAAATAACAGCTTCAAAGTCATCCGGGTGATAAAGTACCTTGTCGTTAAAAAAGACAAAAAGGGAATAAAAGGGAGTTTGCGGCCTCCGCCGTCACCATGGCAACCTGATCACTTGGTCGGCATAATAATAATAATAATAATAATAATGAAAGCCTCCACACCCCCACCCCTAAAAAAAAAAAAAAAAAACACTAGAAAATGACGTTCCCAGAACAATAACAAAAATGTTTGCTGTAATTACTGGTTCAATTCGAAGTAAATCCCTCACAGCTCGACTTCTTTTTATTCGAGCAACTAAGGGGCATTATTGAATGGCTTTAATTCGAATGATTACTACAGCAAATAAATCGTCATTTGGGGGTGTCCTTTCCTCCTCCTGTGATTATACCGACGATGGAAGGCCCTTTTGAGGGACTGGAAAAACCAACTTGCTCGCCGGAAGAATCTCTCTTCCATCCCTGACGTGTTGCCCAACCCTAATTTTTCATCCACATCCACACAGTCGACGCACCCCCCGTAAAAGGGACATAATTTATGCTCTACGAGAGGAAAATCTCACTTTTAATCGTGTATACGTGTTGGGACGGTGACACGCTTGGTAATCCAGCAGATGAATGCCTCCTGATCTCGCAGCGTGTTTAATATTGCATTGTTGCCGGCCGTGAATAAATAATGCGACAATCCCATGTCGAGATGTACGATGAAATCGAAGCTGCTGGTGAATAAGGACGCCACTTCATTCCTGCACGCGGTGTCACGTTGAGTGCGGGCGCAATTAGATAACTGAGCCACTGGCCTGCACAGCCGCCGTCATTTATCATCTTCGCCCACTCTTGCTGCTCAATAAATCGTGGAGAGAAAAAACAAAAACAAAAAGCATAATTAATCTGGGATGGGGATTTTTTTTTTTTTTTTTTTTCCCCCAAAAAATGTTTATGGACACAAACGGCTCCAGGATTTCCATGTGTATTTGTTTTTTTTTTTGTTTTTGTTTTTTTTTCCCCTTGGACTACTTCATAGGCATGCTAATCTCTCTGCCGCTTCCTTGAGGGAATTACCTGCCCTCCCTCAAAAGGCTCTTTCTGTATTTCCCACAAGCAATTACGGCCTGTAGGAGTCCACTTGTCTTTCTCGTGGAGTGCCCTCCAGTCACGTTGAGATGTGGGCCGGGGACGCAGCGCCCCCGGCTGGTGAACGGCCGGGACTGCGTATCTCGGGGTCTCGGCGTGTCTGAGAGCTCCGTTTTTGCAAAGGCATGGATCCTGGAAAGTTGGATCAAATCGGCCCCTGCTTTCAGCGACTGACTGACATCTCAAGGAGTTTGACATCTCAAGTTTTGGTTTGAAACGGCCATTTTGGGGCATTTTGCGCTCCGGAATGAGCCCACAGCAGGTATCCTAGTCAGATGGCGAAATGATGACGCTCGGCTGGCGATGCTGCCTCATTTAGGCGTGCCGTGGCATCAAAGTTTGGGCACGTTTTGAGGATTGAAACTGTCGACGCCTTTCAAGATGTTCATTTCTATTCCAGGTGAGTGCGAGTGCTCAGATTTCACCGGCGGGCCGACCTGCGAGCGCTGCCTGGACGGTTACTACGGCAACGCTTTGGCGGGCACAGCGGGCGACTGCCGACCCTGCCCCTGCCCCGGCGGAAGCGGCTGCGTGCGGCTGGCGGAGACCGATCGGGTGGTCTGCACCGACTGCCCCGCCGGACAAACGGGTGAGCGGACCGCTCCCGCGCGCCGCCGCCCCCGAGGTCGTGGTCCGACGCCGCCCTCCGTCCCTCCCCAGGTGCCCGCTGCCAGATGTGCGACGACGGTTACTACGGCGACCCGCTGGGGCGCTCGGGGGCGGCGCGGCCCTGCGCCCGATGCGACTGCAGCGGCAACGTGGACCCCAACGCGGTGGGCGTGTGCGACCAGCTGACCGGCCGTTGCCTCAAGTGCACGGGGAACACCGAAGGCGACCGCTGCCAGAGCTGCCGCCGCGGTTACTACGGCGACGCGCGCAGCGATGCTCCCGGACCCAAGTGCAAGCGTGAGTCGCGGGAACACCGAAGGACTCCGACGAGGCCTCCAAATCGGGCGCCAAATGTGCTCATTGTCATTTCCAGCGTGCGGCTGCGACCCCGCCGGCACCTCGGGCCGCGCTCTGGAGTGTCACCCCGAGACAGGAAGTTGCGAGTGCCTGGACCATGTTACCGGGCGAGACTGCAGCCTCTGCGAGGAAGGCTTCTTTAACCTGCGGCGCGGCGTCGGGTGCGAGGGGTAAGGAGGCGCCAGATTGCTTTGGGGGAGTCATTGAAGAGCACTTTGAAGAGTCGCCCCGCCCCCTGCAGGTGCGCGTGCCATCCCGTGGGCTCCTCGTCCGCCGCCTGCCACCCGATCACGGGACGGTGCTCGTGCAGGGCCGGCGTGGAGGGCCGCTTGTGTGACGCCTGTCGGACGGGCTTCTTTGGATTCTCGTCGCGCGGATGCAGAGGTACGCTTTTTCGGCTTTCGTTTCAGGCACAGGAAGAAGAAGAGTTAAAGCATCCCGACAAGCCGTTCGGTAAGAAGAGAAAGAAGTCGTAAAGGCCCGCAAAAGGCTATTTGTCTTCTGTCAAAACAACGCCAATTAAAAGCGAAGGGGATGTGATTCCAGGAATAGAAACATCAAGAGCAAGAACAATCATACCAACTAAAGGCATTTCTGTTGCCAAACTAATCCTCGGAATTCAAGTCCACCCCCCAAAAAAGGCCATTCGGTTGGCAGAATAATAATTCGAGGTATAGACCCGGCCAAAAGCAGTACAATCATGGCCCCCCAAAAGCCCCCCAAAAGGCCAATTAGCTGCCGCACGAAAAAGACTTCAAATCCAAGTTAAGCGCCACAAAATGAATTCAGTTCCCTCAATGACAATAAGCAAAGCCCCCCCCCACCTCCCCCATTTAAATGAATAATATCAAGAACAAGTAAAGCCAATGAAAGGGCCGTTTAGTTGTCAGATAAACAAGAATGAATGGCCGCCAGAAGGGGATTCATTTCGCCCAACACGAAGAAGACGTCGACTCCCCTCCCCGAGCAGCGTTGAGTTGCTCGCGGACGAGAACGCGAGCGCATTTCCCGGCCGGTCCCGTTGATGCGAACCGGAACTTCCTCTCCAGCCTGCGACTGCGACCCGATGGGAGCCGTCTCGATGCAGTGCCGCGGCGACGGCACGTGCCGGTGTCGGCCCGGCTTCGCCGGCTCCCGCTGCGACAAGTGCCGGTCCAACCACTTCTACCGGCGAGGCACGCACCAGTGCGAAGAGTGTCCCGCCTGCTACGGATTGGTGCGGCAACAGGTGGGTTCGCAACGCCGCTCGCTTGTCGGGAGACAACTCGTACTCTTAAATCATCTCCCCAAAGGGCCATTGAGTCGCAAAGATCAGAAGAAGCAAAGCCCCCGAACGGCTATTATTTGGCTTCCTGAATGTCGGTGAGCAGAATTAAAGAGAAACATTGACTTGCCGAGAATTACCCATCAGAAGTAAAGGCCCCAAGCCCTCGGCTCCTCGTCGCTATCCGCCGTTTCTCTTCCCGCAACGTCCAAGCCGCGGCCGGGGGAAAAAAACGAGCGTGTCGGTGGCGGGGGGGTTGACAAAAATGGAGAGCGAGGAGGATCTTGAAAGGAAATGGGCGGGAAAAAAACCTGAAGCCACTTCAGACCATGTCAGTGATGACAAGTGTTCCAGCCCCCCCCCGCTAAAAAAAAAAGTCAGCCGTTGACAAACGTCCCGCACTGTCACTTTTGCGGTGACGTCTCGTATCTGGAGAAATTCCCTTCCCGCTTTGTTAGATAGGAAGCGGCCTTTCACTGCGCACTTATCTCGCCCTTGTTATTCATTTATTCATTGCTTCTGTCGGACTACTTCATTTCCCGCCTCGGGATGTCAAAGAACGCATTGCCGTTGTGCAGTTGTTGTTGTCGTTGTTGTTGTGTTTTGGGGCTGTGAGCGACCAATTGCGGTGGAGTTACGGGGGGGGGAGAATCTCAACCTTTGTTTGTTTGTTTCTAGCCGGTGCAAAGCGGGCTAAAGGCAAGGGCACATAAACCACACTTGGGATACAACAGCGGAACATTTCCAGCAGTGACTTTGGCCGCTTACTCGGTGTCAGTTATACAGAGCAGAGACGCGCAAAAAACCTTGCCGTTGTTATTCATTGATTCATCGCCTGACGACTACATTTCCCAGCTCGGAATAAGTCCCGATTCCCGCCTTCCCTTTTTTTTTTTTGTCGTTGTTGTTTTGTCGCATGGCGTTTGACAGCCTGAGTGGCAAACTAACTTTTTTCCAGGCGGAGCAGCTGAGGGCGCGCCTGCAGGACGCCGAAAAGCTCCTGGCCGGCTCGGATTGCCGAGGCGGATGGGCCAAGCGCCGCCCCCCGCCGGGCGACCCGACCGTCGGCGTTCACGACAACCAGCGCGACCCGCGAGCGCTGCCCAACGCGCTGGAGGAATTTTTGGCCTTCCAAGGTAACCGGGGCCCTCTGGCTGTCCAGCTCATTACAAAAAAATTGTTGTTTTTTTTTTTTTTTTTTTTTTTTTGAGGGAAATGTCATGAAACAAAACAAACCAACGGGCGGCGATCAGAGATTGTAATTGCGCACTCTTCTACAAGAGGAGCTTGGTTTTTTTCTGATTTGACGGACAAACGTGGAGTCTTCTTTGCTTGCAGAGGCTCAGCGGGCCTTCGCCGGACAATTCTCCTCGCTGGAGGCGTCCACGGGCGCCCTGGCGGCGCGGCTGCGCGACCTGGCGGCCGCTCTCAACTGCAGCGTCGGCACCAAAGAAGAAGAAGAGGGGCCGGGGGCCCCGTGTCGGACCCTCGCCCGCATCGCGCCGGTCGTCGGCGAGTCCCAGACGCAACTGCGGCAGGCCACGAAAGACCTGGAGATGGCGGTGGGTGATTTCTTCAAGGCGCCTGTTTTACACGAGGACGTCACCTTTTCTTTTCGCTTGGCCAGTCCTTGGAAACAAGTGACGCTGGAACGCGCGCGGAGTGGCAACGCATACGACGGCGCTCACACCAAAAAATAAGTATTTGTCAGCGTCGAGTTTTTGCTGAGAACGCGTTGGATGACGCGCTCGATGGCGGCGCCGTCGTCGTCGAGCGCCAAACAAGCTCGCTTCCAACCTGATGGAGCCGAGCCACAAAATCCCCCCCCACACTGCCTCCTCTGCATCCTTCTCCACCCTTTGAGCGGCAAAATCGGGGGGTGGGGGGGGGGGTTGAATTTGCACGATCCCAAATAAAATCGAGGCAGGACTCCAGGAAGATGATGTTTTTGGGTTTGTTTTTTGTTTTTTTTTGTTTTTTGCCCTCACTTTGAACCGTGCGGGATATTAAAAAGTTCAGGAGGTGAATGTGGCTGCGTGGCAGGCCACCATCTTCCCGCCGCTTCTCTGAATGCTGCCTGACTTTCAAAGTTATTCACTGTTTTGAATTCAGCCCTGACCCCAGGAAAAAAAAAAAGTTGGGTGGTGTGAGGCAGCCGAGTGGGTGTAAGTCGTAAGTGCGAGTCTCCCAAACAATTTGGAAATTCGGGCCCCTGTCCACCCACAGGGGAATGGACGGGGAGGGGGGAGAAAACGTCTCAAGAAGCTCTGCTCACCGGAGGTCTGCCATTTTGTTTTGAAGTGGCCATTTTTTCGGTCATGGGTGGCGGCCGCTCTCAAGCGGTGCGCCGTGAGAGATTGTCGGGTGCTCGGCGGCAATTTATCCGCTGTCAAACTCTTTTTGACGCCAAGCACATCTCGTGACAAGCACGTCAATCAAATGTTCTTTGCCAAGATGACGGAAGGTACAGACGAGAGTGACCCTTTTTGTGCAAATGGTGTGCCATGAGATTCCCCCCCCCCCCCCCCCCCCCCCCCCCCCCGTTTGCCGACAAATTGAAAGTCTGTCCGCCGGATGGATTTCTGACGCCAAATGAGCAATCCATTTTGTTTTGTCTGCCGTTTTGCTTGGAAGCACGTATGTTTGTTTCCCTTTTTCTAGATGGTCCCTTTTGAGGCTGATTCCGGACCAAAGCAATGGAAGATGACGCTCAACGAGTCTCAAGCCTTAAAGAAAAGGTGGGTGGCTCCGCACTCCCTCGCTCGGGTTCACGTGGAGGAACGTTCTCGGAAAGCCGCCTTCACTCCAAACGCTTCTCCGCGCGTCCCGCTGCTGCCATTATATGCGCCTCTTCCGCCTTCGTAGCCATGGCGACGCCGCCGAGCGCGCGGAGGTCGCGGCCGGCAGGGCGCTCGCCACTTCAAAGCACGCCTTCAGCTTACTGATGGCGCTCCTGCGGGACGACTCCACCGACGAGTACATCAAGGACCTGACGCAACGGTAGGCCAAGACGGACACGGCGCCGACACTCATTTTAAGCGACGGTCCAAGTCAACGTCAAACGAAGGGGATGACTCAGAATGGATGGAAAATGACCCCCCCGCCCCCCCCACCGCTAGCTTCACGCGAACACATAATAAAGGAGGCCGTTTACGGGCTGACGAATGGCACCGCCAGCGACAGTTTTGCACCCCTTCAAGAAAACGAATATTGTCGGTCCCGATAACGGCTGGGTGGATGAATCCCAGAGAGAATTGGTGACTCTTACTCGGTTGTGTCTGTATGAATGTATTATACTGCCCCCCGGTGGCCAAGACAGGCACGCCAAAAGGAGCAGCGCAAGCTATCGAGTGGAAGCATTAAATCGAGATGCGCAAATAGTTGAATTCTTCCAATTCCGTGTCATCACAGAGAGCTCTCACGTCGTCGGCTTTTTTTGGGGAGGCTGGAAAGGGATCGAGGGCATTTCCATCGGTTTCAGATGATGAACATCATTCCGAATCACGACGTCGCCTTCCTCCCGATACGTTTCAGGATGACCGAGATGCGCCAGCGGAGACAACATCTGACCGCCCGGGCGAGCGAAAGCCATGCCGATGACGAGGCCCGGCGCAAGGACACCGTCGGGCTGCGGCTGGCCCTCCGGAACGTCACGTCGCAGCTGGCTCGCGCCAACGCCGGCCAAGCGCTCGCCCGGGTAAGCCCGTCGAGCGCCGAGACCGTCGGGCCGGTCCGAAGCCTCGAGTTCTGCCAGGCGGGCGGGACGACCGCCGGTCCGAGCTCACGTTGTCCTTCCCGGTTAGCGGGGCGCCTCGCTGTTGAAAAGCTCTCAAGAACTGGACCGCGGCCTCCGGTCCAAAGACGACCTGGTCGGCCGCATCGCCGACGACGCCCGATCCCTGGCCGGGGCCGTCATCGGCAAGCGGGAAATGCTGAAGCGCGCGGCGGAGGTGACGGAATTGGCGGCGGGGCGACGGCCTCGGCGTCGGCGTGCTCATCGTTGCTTTGATTTCTCCAGCTGCAAGCTCGCGCCAGCTGGGTCAACGTGGTCGCCTTGGCCTCCGTGGTGGAGGGGAAAGCGGCCGAGTCGCAAGAAATCGGCCTGCGCCGGGATCTTGAAAGTGAGGATGTCCCCTTTGCCGTGAGAAACGGCGCAAAAGTCCAAATCGCGGCAGCGCCCGAGTTCATCGAGCAAAAAACAAGATCGAGCAGAGCAATGAAACATGACGCAAACCGATTCGACGTGTGTTTTTTCATGTCGGCTGCACGTGGTGGTGACGAGCATGATGTCGTTTTGAATGGCACGTCCCGCCCGGCCGAGGCTCGGTGTCAATCCGCTCTTCCCTTTTCCTCGCAGACATGGTGCGCGAGTGGCCGCGTCTGCAGGCCCACACCAGAGCTGCCATGAAGAAAAAGAAGCCCCTGGAGGTGAAAGTTCTGGCCGGCGTCACCAATCTGGTTTCGGAGATCCAAGAGATACTTGGGCCGGCGCAAGAAAACTCCCGCCTGGCCAGAAACCTCTCGCTGGAAGCCGAGCGCACCGCCCACGCCGCGTCTGAGGTACGCAAACGAGTCGGCTGTCTCAACCGCGACACCTCCTTCCGACCGCGCGTCTGCAAGCTCGGATTGCAGGTGGAGAAATTTTGCTTTAGCGACGTTTTATTTGACGGGCAGCGCAGCATTTAGCACGTCCGCCTCGCAGCGCAGAGGCGCGGGGTTCGATTCCGGGCCCCGGCCTTCCTGTGTGGTCTTTGCATGTTCGCCGGCGCGCCTGCGCGGCTTTTCTCCGGATACTCCGCTTTCCTCCCACTTTCCCAAAACGAGCGTGGCGGGTTAATTGAGCACTCTAAATGGGGGTGGGTGTCCAAACTGCGGCCCGGGGGCCATTTGCGGCCCGCGATATGACCTTTAAAACCACACTCCGTTTGTTTCTATACTGTCGAACTTTTCTCGACATTCGAAGATACAAATTAGCCATCGATGATGAAAGCATTTCTTTTGGAAACACCGCGGTGACGAAAGATAATTCCATTTTGAAGGCGAATCCACGTTTGCGCTCGATGAATGAAGACGTCGCACGAATGATCCTCAAGTAACTGTTTGAAAAACAGCCACCTGATGACAGTTTTTTTTTTCTTTTTTGGCTTCTGAATGTGGAGCTGGGATTCGTCCGACCCTAATTTGTCTTGATATTAAGCCTTGAGTCGCTTGCGGCTGTTGAGTGGGAATTGCGCCAACGGCAGCCCCGTGTTTTTTTCAATTCTGCGAGCCAGGAATCGAAAGGCGCCCTGACGCAGGCGAAGCACACGAGGACCGCCTTGGCTCACCTCAGCTCGCACGTGGAGTCCGTCTCGCAACGTCTGGACGCGCAGACGTTGCGAGCTGACGGCGCAAAGTTCCACGTGCCCTCCGAGGTAAAGTAGACGACTTTGCTTCGCCGCCCGCACGCTTCGCGACGCACGCTGAACCCAGCCTCGCCTTCCTAGATGGCGCCCCCTCTGGCCGACGTGAAGAAGGACGTGGAGGCGGCCAAGCTGCGGTTGGAGGCCTACTCGCAGACTCTCACCGAGCTCATCGGCAAAATCGGTAAAAGCTTTTTTCTCGAAACAGCGCGACTTTTGATGCGGGAAAGCTCTACGATTGTGAATAACAGAAACGCCCGCGAGAGCAGCCTTGGCGTGGGATTCTGATTGGCCCGTTTTGCCATTTGCCGTCCCCTCCGCGCCAGACGCCGACGTGCCTCTGGAGCGTTTCGGGCGCGTCCTGAACGAGACGGCGCGGCGCCTGAGCGCGCTGCGCGGCAGCGTGGAAGCTCCCCAACTGCACGCCAAGATCGGAGCCCTGCGTTCGGCGGCCCGGGGCCAACGTAGCCGTCTGGCGCTCCTGGAAGAGGACGTGCGGGAAATGTTGCGCGAGAGAGACAGCCTCAGGGACATCGCCCTACACTTGCCGCCGTCCTGTGCCGAGGCCGGCGCAAAGGGGCGGGCCTAATCACTGGAACGTCTTCAGCCAGCAAAAAAAAAAAAAAGGATACGCTGGTACCTTGACTTAAGAGTGACCCGACTCGGCAGTTGTCGCCCCGTCCATTTTGTGGGTTGTGTTGTTTCTGTCAGTCAGTTGGTTTCCCTTTTCCACCGTATGCACCCCCCACCCTCCGTCGGGTCACTCGTAAGTCGAGCTAGCGCTGTGCTTGAATGTCCGTGCATGAACGAGGGCAAGGAGAGCCACAGTTGCCGACGCACTTTCAACCCTTGATTTGAAACTTTCAAACGCGCAAATGGAAAATGAGAACACTGGCAGGGAACTGCTGGCTGGCACAAGCCCTGAAATAACCTGCGAACTTGACTCCGGCTCCGGATGTCACGCAATAGGCCACGCCCCTTTCAAGGCACACAGCCGCCACACAAGTACTGCAGTACTCAGTGTTTTTGTTTCCATGACATCTTTCCACACTCTTTTTTTTATGTCTCATGCAATACTGTGCTATTTTTAATTAAAAACACATTTTTCAAAAAAAGTGTTTTTGTTTTTTTGATACACGAAGTGAACCACAAGCTTAGTCACAGTTACCTCTCCTTTTGACTGAGGACCCGACTAAAAAAATACTACTACTAAAATAAATGAAATTACATTTCTGACTCTGAAAAGAAAATTCATGTTCGGATTTCGTACCTTGAAATGACTGCAGCGATTGTTGTTGTTAAACTTGATTCTCACAAGACGCAGCCTCGTTTTCTTGGACATCAATTTTGACTCAAAATTGTGAGTGACTATCAACTACTTTTCATTCTCGAACGCAGACAACTATTTCTTTCAAATTGCATCATTTCAAGTCTTAAGAATTGCGAGAAAACTCATATTGCCCCCTGACCCCCTAAAAATTTCAAGGAAGAAAATCATCTATTTTCCAGATGAAACAATGATTTTCGATGGGTCTGGCGAGTCATGCTTTTTTTTATGAAAAGAAAAAGTCATGTTGGTGAGACAAAAATGTTCCAGCTTGATTCTCATGAAGAGAACATTTCATCTTGACAAATACTGACTGCATGGGGGCTGGAAAAATACCGAAGAAGAGTCATCCACAGACGACACGGGCTCATGACATCGGCGGTTCCAAACGGGCGGCGCCGCTGCCGTTTGCGCTACCTTGAGACGCCATTTCACTGACAGAACAGTTGCCATTTCCATCTGTTGCGGCGGAGTGTATTTTCTGAATAGCTTCTCTGTGTGAATGCATCAGCTAAAACCATTTAGCGCCTCCTTCCCCCGCTGCGCCGCTTTCCCGGCTAAATAACAGCAATCTTTTCTATCTGGAGACGTTTTGACAATCACATCTTTTTCTCAACCAGAAAAGGCTGCTTTCGTCCTTTGCTCTGCTTTTGGCTTATAGCACAAAAAAAAATATGTCTGCGATCATGTGGGAGGATTGAAAAATACATTAAAAAAAATTAAGTCCTGAGGAACGCGCACTTTGAAATGTCACTGTCGCCATATTCGTTGGTGGAAAAGCACCTACTTACTCCTCGCAAACGTAACCAAACTCTTTTGTTTCGTATTCATTTGTGAAGCTAAACAGGCGAGCTTAAAATTGCTGTGCGCTAAGTTCTGATGAAAGCCTCATCGGTCCATTTTGACACTTTCTCCAAACTATGTCTTCTTTTCGGGAAACGCTCAAAATTCTTGTCTTTGACTTGAAGAACACGTAAAAACGTTCAAACGGGACTTAGGCTTATAAATATGTTGCAAGATGATCTATCAGAGTGATAGCACAAGCGGAGCAGTGACTAAGCGTTGGCGTTCCCTAAAAGCCGGAAACCCAATTAATGGCGATACCTTGCAGAAGAGAGAGAGAGAGAGAAAAAAAAGCACCCGCATCGGCAGGCCATTAAACACCAGGGCCTGCTGAGTCAGAGCAGTGACAAATGTGACTACTGAGTCACGGTGAGCGTTTTTTTTTTTTTTTTTAGGCCGGGAGTGGTGCGGATTAACAGGACGAGTTGAAAAAAAAAAACCCGTGCACAAATATTAGGATGCATCGACGCATCAACGTCGGCAACGGCTGAGTCATTAGGATGGAAACAAGCAATGTCGCCTTACTTCATTCTACGAGAAAAATAGATCTCATCGATGCACTGCAAATATAGAAATATATACTGCGTGTATATAAACTGTACGTATGGATATGTATGTACAACAGTAGTCTTTCCACCTTCCATAATTGGATTTCCTTCAGGGCCTCTTGTGTCACAAAAAAATGTCCCCTTTAGTAACAGCTATTTTTTTTCTTTTTGCAAAATGTATGATTGAATTAAGCAGATCAATAATGATAACGCCGCTTCATTATTGTCCCGGTCGGAGTGCATCCGCTGTTGTTTTGCAGCTCGTCACTTCATCTAATTAAAACGTATCGAGTCAATTAGTCAAGCCAATTAGTCCGCTCTTCTGTTTTGCACGAAGCGAGGAAACGTGCGACGCCTAAATTCTTGGAGACGAAATGGCCTGCGTCAGCGAAAAGTGTGACACCGCGAAGCGTCTAGTTCAGCGTTTAATTTGATTCGGTTAAAAAGGAAAGGAAGTGTGGGCCTTTCATTAATCACTTGATGTTTTTGTGCCTTTTTTTTCGGTCGACTTTCAACATTGAGACATAAGCACGCTCAGCAAACTTTTGCCTCTTTCGTGCCACCCGGGCACGGCGCTCAACACCTTGAAAGATGCAGGAAGCCCGCCACTTTGGTTCAAAGCGGCCATGAACATCCAGCGGAAGTTGGCCTATTGCGATCTAATGTCAACAACGGCACAGTTTTTCCTCTTTCGTCACAACTACTTGTAGTCTGTCGAAATTGAGCGATGCGAAAAACATCAACAACATGAAAGTAACGACGCCAAAAAGAGACAAAAAGTCCGACGTTTTGGTGGAAAGCCGTATTTTTGGCCCGTTTCCAGGTGGCCTTCAAACGCAAAATCATCCCAGAGATGTTGTCCATTGGCTTCTCAATTTGAATCACAGCTTTTCATCACTGTATGTGGTGGGCACAGCATGGCAATGAAATGTAATGACTCGCCATAAAACAGGAATCTGTAATAACTCCGCAGTTAGCCCTCCTCCCAAATTGTGTTGAAACGCAGCAGGCCCCAAAGCCAGTTTCACTTGGCAACATGAAAGTTGGTCATGGTGTCTCTCATGAGTAGAGCCACGAAAATGTTTCAAAAAGCTATGCCGAAGAGCACACAGACAGTCGGCCATCTTGGTGGCCATTTTAGGCTCTTTTTTGGCCATTCCCAGCTCATGAAGTGTCGTATTTGTTCGTCCAGCACCGTGTTTTAAGGAGCATTGCTGCAGCGAAAGTGGCCTCCCAATCTGGGGGTGGGAAAAAAAAAAGCACTCCAACGTGACTCGATGCTGCCCCCGTGTGGCCGGAGCTAAAAACAACTGCCACAGCCACTTCATTAGGTACACCCTGTGTCGTGAAACCCTTTGCGGTCGTCCGCCCGAGCTGTCCAAGTGTTGACGGTCAACAGAGAGCCCGCAGGAGCATTTTGATTTCTTTTTATTTGCTTGTTTTAATCTATTTTTTTATATAATTACCTGTCTTGAGGAGGAACGGAGTGGCATAAAATAGTGACGTGCTTGGATGAAGGAAGTTTCCTAAGTTTGGCAAAATTAATTCCACGTAGTTTGAACATCGAATTGCTCAACTTCAAGGCTGTTGTGTGAAAAACAACGCGAGTCCAAACGGCTGATCCAATTTGCTTGCCCCCATCACGTGCACTCCCATTCGCATTGCACCTCTAGCGAGTGCGGAAGGTAACTCTCATCTAAATCGTGTTTTCTGCTCACGCCTCAGTTTCGTCGCTCTCATTTTGCAGTCTTACTCTTCCCGCCTCCGTTCCCCGCAGCTATTCATCCCTCCACGGATTGAGATTTTTTTTTTTATATCCAAAGCCTCCGAGGATGCAATTACCCCTTAACATCTGACCCGGTTCACCTCCAGTCTCGTTTTTTTTTTTCTGCACGCGTCTTGAATTATCACCCACAGCGCGGTGCGAGCCAGGACTTCATTTGCATCGGCCGCCTTCAAACGTGTGACCAGTCGGCTTGTTCTTCGTCTTTAAGACATTAAAACTTTGCTTCGAACTCTTTCAACCTGGGTGACATGAAAGGAGAAATCGGCGATCGTTTTAGTTCGATAGGAGAGGTGCATCGTTTCTGCAATTCATTTTCCCTGTTCTATCCGGTTTGCACGACCGCTTGTTCGTTCCATTTGGTAGGTTGCATTCACCCCAATGACATTTGTTTCTACTTGAGCCAATTGTTCTCATGATGCTTTGATGATGTAGTGCCGTTGCTGAACTATCGGCACATTGGCCTTTATTTGATCTTTAAGGGCTACCTTGTGGGGGGAAAAGATAAAACTGTCTCTTTTCGGATTCATTTGTAACTGCTCCATCAGACCTCCATCACATCTCCTATAAATTATTTCTTATAAATAATTATTTCTTATTTCTTTACTTTATTGATACATAAAAAGACACACAAGGCAAATCCGCTGTGCTTTACAGAGGTGAAAAAACTACAAATTAAATGGAAAGATGACTATCAAAATAAAATCACTTAATGCAAACAGGATGCAGGAAAATACGACATGATGAAACACAACGATCACGTTATAAAAAAAAATCACAAAATGAAAGCAAGAGAAACACGACACAAGAATTAATATTTTGGTTAATGGTTTTATTTCGTGAGTTTGAAGCAGACTTTTACTTTGAGTAACTTCTTATAATTGAATCAAACAAGATTTGGTTTATTTTTCAATGAAGTGAATTCAGGTTCATGACATAGCCACACGAGGGCGAGCGTGACCAGCGTTTGCAGCGGAAACCAATGTTGCAAGTTTCAAAATAAGAGTAAAGAACTGCTCTTGTGCGCGTTTGTCGCGTCAGACAAGTTTCAGAAAACGTTTCTATGTTTTTGCGCAACAATCATGAAATAAATAGTTCCCTTCTACGTTCATTACGTCTCGAACGCGGAGCTTTCGGCGATGTCGTGATTTATTGTGGATAAACATCACCGGATATGCATTATCCCAGTTGGTCTGGCGCGACAGCGGTTGCCGGTGGCCACCGAGTTGGAGGGAGGGAAGCACACGCAGCCTTGGACCGAGCGAGGACGGAGCATCGCTCGCCCGCACGCTTGCGGTCGTCTTTTCGGCTCTCTAACTTGACCCGAAAACTGGATTGAAACACGCAAACCGCTGGGATGCCTGCGAGTAAAAACGTACAAGGTAAGGTGACATGTTTTAAATTGGCCTTTTTTCCTTTTGTTTCGGTGACTAGCTTCAATTCCAATCATTGCAATGGCTCGTCGAAGCTAGGTCACGTCTATTTTGACGCCTTTTCGCTCCGTCTGTGTTCCATTTAGGAGGAAAAGCCTTCGGGCTGTTAAAAGAGCAACAAAGGCAAAAACTGGAGGAGGTGAACCAGGTAAACGGTGTCTTTTGTTTGTACATTTGACGTCCAAACGTGTCGGCTCTGGAAGTACGCGCGTGCACTTGACAGTGTGACGAAGCTTGGGGACGTCACCTCAAAATGTCTGAGCTTATTGTGCGGCATGTTGTTGTTGTTGTTGTTGTTGTTGGGGTTGGTTGGTTCGCCAGGACGCTTTTCACTCCCAACGTCACACCTGTCTCATCCCCGCTTTGACCCGATGGAAAAGGTACGCACGCGCGCGCATGCGTGCGTTTTGATGGAGTCTCGATGGGGATGAAGTTCCACTTTTGCATTTATTATTTCCCTGTTGCATTTCCTCGTAATCAGCCCCCGCCCGCCTTTGTGAGAACATGGAAACGCAGTGCATGAGGCCTGTGGGACATTCCTGTGCATCACTGCATCCTTTTGTGTGTCATGTGCTCGTTGGGGGGAGTTGCCCCGGGAGGGGGGGGATCCCCGTTCCCCCCTCCCCCGTTCCCCCCAAAATGAGGGTTGTGAGCCAAAAATCTGTGTTTGGCTTGTATTGTGCGTCGAACAGGCACCTATGGAAAGCCTGCCCTGATATCCAGATGAAGGCTGGCTGGACTACGCTCTGTCTTTGTCCTCACTCGGAAGACAGCCAAGTGCGCCATAGTCTGACTGTGTCTGGCTTGAATATCCAGTATAGATATATAAAATCTTATTTTACGAGTCTGACCTTAATATGATAATCAAGAACAATGAAGAAAAGCCCAGACAGCTTTGTTATTGTTGATAAGCAGCTGTGCTGCTACTTGACAACCGCATCTGTGGGCCAGAAGAAAAGTAACGGAAACTGGATCTCATGTTTATGAAACTAATGTTGTGTGTCCCTACAGAAGAAGGAAGCTCAAACAGTTGTTTGAGGATTCTGGTTTACTTTATCGGTTTAATTTGACACACACTCCACCTCTTCAAATAAAACAAATCTAGACTAAAATAAATACAAATTAAAACGCAGCACCCCCGCCCCCCAAAAATATATAACAAATCAAAACTAACTAACCTGGCCTAAAACCCAATTGAAATCAAGTGAATTTAAAGAACAAAAGTCAAAAAGAAATAAAAGCGATCCTATAATGAGCAACCCCAAACTGCGAGAACTCTGGTGTTCCGTCATCACTTTAGTAATGCGCTGAATCGTCTTATAGGTGAGGACCGAGAGCGTACTTGTACGTGGGCCTTAAGGTGAATGAATATCAGGGAGACTGATTGTTTGGGCGACGGCGGCTCAGGCGCTCGAGCAAGTCGTCCAATGACAGAAGGGCCCAGGTTCCAGGATAGCGCTGTCTTTCCAGTATTCCGGAAAGGACGCCGAACCTTCATTTGCTCCGCGTTTGTCAAGCGCTTTGGGAACCATATTGACAAAGCACAAGAGAAATGCCCGCCATTTACCATTTGTAGTATCGGAGCACTACAACGTCTACGGTGTCGGCGCTGACACGATACTGGCATGGCTATAGGTAGAAAATGTGTTATTCGACACTCGGCAGCCGATTTTACAGTAGCTGCGTTGCTTTTCTCAACACGACTTCATGTAATGCTCATCGCAATGCCGTTGGAATGCGTACGAGCACGCGAGGCTCGGAGCAGCCCCTTCGAGATCCTCGTCGCGCTTCGTTCGAAACGCAGCAGGCTTCTGGAGGTCAGACGAGAATGTGACTCCACATGGCGGATCGCTTCATTATCATTTCATTAGCGTGGATCCCTCCTGGCATTTTTTTCCCCCCCTTTCACGCCCTGGCGAGGTGTCCTACTTTTTATAAGCTCACTCAGTTGCGACAAATCAACTCTGACGAGCGCCCCTGTTGTTCGCATGTTTTGTAACCCGTTTTGACAGCAAGAATTGACTTAATCCCTGCGTTTTTCCACCCGCAATCAGGAATTCCTGGAGGACCAAAAGTACCGGGATGAAGATGACCTCGCGGAGAAGCTGGAGGGTTTCAAAAGTAAGCAGACGCATGTCGTCGTTTGTACGGCGCAAATCCCAAGGTCCGGCGCCTTTACGGAGTCCTCCATCGCTTCAAGCGGTCTTCACAAAAGTATTCGGACGCCGCACTGGTCAAAAACGAGTCCGCTAACTTTTCTACTGTGTTCTTTGCTTCTCACCAAGCGGAACGGTAAATCGTTTGCGAGTGTCCAAACATTCTTACGACTTTCAAGGTCAAGTTGCACAAGCTTAAATGCGATTGAGCTTGGGCGGTAGCGGTGAAATATGTCGAACTGCGCTTGTTTTATTGCTTTACTGGCGAGTGTTTCAGCCTCAATAGTGTCATAAATGACTTCACACACACTTCCTCATATGGGAATAGGCTGCGTTGCGGTTTGCAAGGCCAAATCCAGTCCGCGATGGAATGCAGCAGAACATTTCTGCTATTTTTTTCTCAGCTGCTGTTATCACGCACTGCGGACCTTTGCTCCCACCCGCCGGCCAAAACAAAAAGCACTGTTACAGCGACCTCTGTAACAAATAAAACTGAGTTTGAGTGTGCAAAAAAAGGGGTGAGCATTTCCTGTCGTTTCCCTGGGCACCACTCTTGGTGTTTTTTGGTTTTGAACTGTGGCTGCAAATTTTAGCATGACGTGAAGCTGCTTGGAGAAACCGCAGCAAAAGACTCCCGCGCTCCCTGAAGACCACAAACGGCGTGTTTCTTCTTCCTTCTGGGTGTTTATTCATCCTGAGAATTTTCAAATATCAACCAGTTTTTTCCGTCTTACATTGAGCCAAGGTGCGTATTTTGCACTGGAGAACAAGAGCACTCAACGAAGCTCCTCAGCTCACTTCAACCGAGTTTGTTGGCACTAAGGCACCGCACCATGGCGGTCAAGCAATACCTTTTTGGAGATGAAGCTCCTCATCTGTCCTCAACGTAGTTCCGTGGCACCAAGATGACACAGATGGCAACTTGACGTGAATAGAGGGCGCAAATAAAGCCGAGTTTTCTTTTCTTTCTCGTCGGACTATGATGTTGGCTAGCAGCGTTAGCTGTAGGGGTCAAGGCGGGGGTGGGGGGGCTGATTGCCTTTAGTCTTGGCCGTGCGCCATCTTCACACGGGACAGTATGTGGTGTGTTCCAAAATTCCGGATGTCCGTGAAGGCGCCGGCTGAGAGAAAATAACCCCCCCCCCCCCCCCCCCCGACGCACCCCAAGCGGGCCCCCGGCTGGGGGTGGGTCGGCTTGTGTTCTGTGACTGCAGATGATCAACAGGCTGTGTCCCACTCAGCTGTGTCGTGCGTGCGTGTGGATGAGAGGAGGCCAACTCCCCCAAGTTGGGAAACAGGCTGATCATTGTCCCCGTCCCGCTCCTCTTAGGTTCACTCCGTTAACACGGTTCCGTCTCTCTCGTGCAGCCTCCCAACAGGCGAACACATTGTGTGACAGAAAGTGTAATGCGATGAGAGGAGAGGAAACTGCCACCTTTCAGGGAACCACAGGTGGACTTTTCCAAACGGCAGATGTAGAAACACACTCAGTTTACAGTGAAAAATGCGTTGCTCACTCTGACTGGACGCGGTGTGTCTGTGTGTGCGTGCGCGCGCATGTTATGAAAAGCCATGGATGAAAACGTGTGCACTTGTGAATGATAATAATTCATAGGGAAAAAAAAACAAAGTGTCTCTCTCAATCTGGGTCGGCCTCAGGTCAGCTGATCTTTGGCAAATGAAACAAAAGCCACCTGTCGTGATCAGCTGCTCGTTCCTTCTTTCAGCAGACATGCTCTGTGTGCCCCCCGCCCCCACCCCTCCTCCTCATCTCCTCTTCTGCTTCTTTCACAGATAAATATGCTGAATTTGACCTGAATGACCAAGGCGAAATCGGTGAGTCACTCGGATATGAAAGTCAATCACCAAACGCCGACTTCGCGTGGAAAGTCAAAGCACAGTCAAACGACGACCGACGCAGTGACATTATTTGGGGGGGGGCGAATCGTAAAACTCTCTTTTCCCAACGTGCGTTCTATTTGACGATCTTGCCTCAGATCTGATGGGCCTCAAGCGCATGATGGAGAAGCTGGGCGTTCCCAAGACCCACTTGGAGCTGAAGAAGATGATCGTGGAGGTGACGGGCGGCGCCAGCAGCAACAGCATCGACTACAGGGACTTTGTCAAGATGATGCTGGGCAAACGCTCGGCCGTGCTCAAACTGTGAGTGGGAACCGCGCGCGCGGGGATGAACGCCCGCGTGCCGCCTCGCCCGTTAATCTCCACGCCAACAAAACCCAGCCGTCGTTATTCTTAGCTGCGGGATCATGTGATTAGGGAAGTGATTATTGGTGAGTCGCCGAAGACCGTGAGAAGTTTTGCACGTAAAGGCCAACGTGGCTCCGTGACTGGGGGGGGGGAAATTTGAAATGTTTTTATTATTATTGTTATTATTTTGAATCGGGTTATCGCGGATGATCCCTTTGAAAGCAGCTGGCCTCGGCCTCGGGGGTAAGATGCACGTCAGCTCTGCGGGCCTAAGCCGCCCGCACTGTTGAGTTACAAAATCTCCTTACCCTTGAATGCAGCGAGCACAGGAAAAGACGCAACTTTTCTCCTTTGCCCTCCATTTTTTTTTCTTTTTTGAACTACAAAAATACATCCCCTCGACACACACACACACACAATCGCGTGATGCCCAGTCAAGTATCGGTGCCGATAGTTTCCCCTGGCACACTGCTCGCATAGCCATCTTGAGAGCAGACAGCCACGTGGTGCGCCTTTCCGAAGTTCGATCCCACCGGCAAGCCGCGGGGGCGTCCCGCGGGACACTCGAATGAAACAGATTGGCGGATATTGTCGGGGGGAGTTGACCGCTCAACAGTTGGTGCAAAACTTTGGCGTGTCCAGGGAGTCCTTCCTCTACATGTGCCATCGTCATGATAACCCCGCCCCCTGGCGTCATTGCTGCCAGCTTAACCGCCAGTTTTAAGTGCCGGAGATCGATTTCAATTTCAGTGGTGGAAAACAAAAGAACCGGTGCTAACCTGGGCACTGGCCTGGAACTAGCGTTGGCACAAAAATATCCGCTCAGGGTTTATAACGCTGCCTGCTACTTTGACAAATGAAACTGTTTTCACGCAGGCCAACATCACCGTGAATGTCTGAACCGAGGCCGTGCAACATGGCACCCCGGCCATTTTGCTTTTGACTTTTTTTTTTTCTTTCCTTCTTCCACAGAGTCTTACTGTTCGAGGACAAAGCCAACGGGGCGGCGCCCTGCAAGCCGGACGGCCCGCCTCCGAAGCGGGACATCGCCAGCCTGCCTTAAGCCTGCCCCCTGACCCGCCCCCAATTCCAACCCCTCCCCTGCCCTCACAGGCTACTTTCGAATTTTCTTAACCCTGGTGGACCACAGATGGACGAATGAGGGTATTTTTGTGATGTACGGTGCGTGAAAGGTGGCTATCGTCGCTAAACGATGTTTGACTGTGAATATTATCCTTTAGGTAAATAGTAGCATCTGTAGTGTATGTGTCTTTTTTTTTTTCGTTTGTTTAGTGAAGTGTTGTGTATTAAGGGAAAATGCTTTTATTTGTTAGCCAAGCACAAGCAGCTTTCTTCCTCCCGTTTCCACAGCACCCTCGCAGGGATTCCCGCCGCGCCAACCTCAGTCCGCATTTCAGAGATTACAAGATTACAAGCCACCCCCACTTCCTGCGGCGCTGGAACACTGATCTGGAATCACTAACTAGTTTGTCAAGTCTGCGTTTTGGACTTTGACTCAAGCTTGCACCCTGGTTTGAAGTCAAGTGCACGTGTAGGAGGACTGTGACGAAGTGGTACAAATGTAAAAGGCAACAATAACAACAGTACAATCACGTTCTTTCCAAGTGCCTCAGTGTGGAAACAGCGGGGGGGGGGGGGGTCCCGAGCCGTAAATCAGAACTCTACAAATCCCTGAAAATCGGTCTTTGATGCTGCGCCACATTCTTTGAGTGTTTACAAGTGATTGCTCCGCCTCTACCCTTTCCCCCTCCTCTTGGTTTTGTTTTCTTTTTTTTAACTCTTTAAATGTTATTGTAAAAGCTGTTTACTAAACATTTTGGTTTTGGCATAGTATATAAACAAATTTAGTAGTGGTAACGGCACCTATTTTTCTGACACCCTCCCTACTCGCTCTGCCCGCCTTCACCTTGACTCAGCTAACCTTGCTGGTCCATGTCAATTGTCATTTTTACTTGAGTCGCGGACCGCAAATGGCCCCATGCCATAGTTTGGACACCACTGTTCTAGTCCGTACTAGGCTCTTACCAGCACACGCCCGACTTTTTGGTGTGTATAGAACTGTAAGAGCTGGCGAGCACCGAATACAAACGTTTTATATGAACTTTACAACCGTCCCGAACCACTTGAGTAAAAAGAGACAAAAATCAAAAGTGACACGCGCGGCAGCTAACCAGTCGACGGCTAGCACGAAAAGCTAACGCAGCAGTTTACCTCGCTAGTCAAGTATTTAGGTGTTTTTTTTTTTTTTTTTTGCCTGAAATGAAGCCACTTGTGAGATCCACTTTGGGTACACTGATGCTAATCTTTGAGTGATCTAAAGGGTTGTTTTTCCAAATTTTACCAGCTTCAGGACCTTGGATGTACCACTCAATTATCACTTTCGTTGTCCTCTGTGTATGTGCGCTATGATTTGTGCCTGTCTCCATTCGCACTCGGTCTAACTGTGAACGTGTCATATTTTTAGGCCCATCTCATGCATTTTTGTTTTATTGGGAGCTGCTGCTGTTTTGCAGCATGCAAGCATTTTTTTGCGTTAATTAAAAAGATGCACATCGTTGTTGTTGGTTTGTTTTGCAGACACCAAAGGAATTAAACATTTCTTCTGACAGTGTCTACGGTGGGATGTTGAATGTGGTGCTTTTGCAAATCATAGGCGCAGGAACATTTTGCATCTCACTATACCTGTCAAAACGTGCTTGTCTCTTGAAAACACCGTATTCAATTGCTTTAAGTTCTGTCTAGCGATGAGTGTCGTGTGTTTTGCATCGCTGCTACCACCTACTGATCATTTTATGCATGCATCGAACCGAGGGTGTGCCTCAAAATTGAAGACCTCAAAAAGAAGATAAAAGAACCAAATCAAGTTTATAAGAGTTTGTATGACGGCGGCGGCGCTTTGAAGTTTGTAAAGCGTTTTCAGCTCTTATCACGAATCCACCCCCTTCATTCGCAAATGCTGCCAAATATGAGCACATTTTTGAGACCAACGCCTTTTCTGGTTTACTCTGATGGCCAAATGTGGTAAACGGGTCCTTGTTTTGTTTAGATTACTGGGAAGTGCACGTTGAATGTAAACAGAAGATAAGGACGCGAGGGTGTCCCCGAGCCTTAGTCGTCTACGCTTTTCGAACAGACTCGGCGGGACACCGTTACTGTGTTCAAAAGCTGATTTTATTTCATGTTGATGTGCCAAATAAGTCTTTAAACCCTCGAAAAGATCAACGTGAGTAAACTGAAATTGAAACCGAATAAGCGGTGCGCCCTTGAAGTTTCCGAGGGTAGCCTGAAGGTACCACTTACGTCATTTACGTTGGACTACGTCGGGCGAGCGGCGCCGACCCCTCCCACTAAGTGCGGCGCGGAGGCTCTCTCCGAGCTCGGAGCTCTCAGTCCAACTGCCCGCCGCTTGCTGTTTGGCTCCAGAGGCCACTGCGGGAAGATGTCGACGGAGAAAACCAAACACGAGGGCAGAGTCAAAATCGGACACTACATCCTCGGCGACACGCTCGGAGTGGGCACGTTCGGGAAGGTTAAAGGTAAGAAGCAGCGAGACAAGAACCCACCCCCTCACACTTACTTCGACTGAAAGATGGTGGCCGGCGAACCATTTTAGCATCGCGGCTAATTGCCCAAGCTAACTTGTCAACTGGGGAAAGGCATCGCACTTGCTGTCTCTTCCTGCTCCCCGTTTGCTCAACTCGTTCACGGCGACGTAAAGACGTTACACACCGCACGTTTTGTTCGGGGCGGTTTAGTTGGCGGCGCGGGGGCGGGGGGGCTAGCCGGAGAGAGCCACAAGTCGCTCGTCAAGATAGCCACCGGGAAGTGAAGCTCTCCTAATTGACGCTAACGCGAGCTAACATAGGTCGAGAGCTATTAACCACGCCGCCGAGGATAATGTTTGGCGTCAACTTATTCGACTGTCATCCTGGTTATTCCATTAACAGGCCTATTATTTTGAAGCGACACTCATGGTATTTCGGTGAGGGTGGGGACTGTGAAGTTTTGTACTTTGGTGGCGGTGATGGGGGGGTGGGGGGGGGGGGGGGGGGGGGGGGGGGGGGGGGGGGGGGGGGGGGGGGGGGGGGGGGGGGGGGGGGGGGGGGGGGGGGGGGGGGGGGGGGGGGGGGGGGGGGGGGGGGGGGGGGGGGGGGGGGGGGGGGGGGGGGGGGGGGGGGGGGGGGGGGGGGGGGGGGGGGGGGGGGGGGGGGGGGGGGGGGGGGGGGGGGGGGGGGGGGGGGGGGGGGGGGGGGGGGGGGGGGGGGGGGGGGGGGGGGGGGGGGGGGGGGGGGGGGGGGGGGGGGGGGGGGGGGGGGGGGGGGGGGGGGGGGGGGGGGGGGGGGGGGGGGGGGGGGGGGGGGGGGGGGGGGGGGGGGGGGGGGGGGGGGGGGGGGGGGGGGGGGGGGGGGGGGGGGGGGGGGGGGGGGGGGGGGGGGGGGGGGGGGGGGGGTGACGGGACCCGAGTTTAATTTAGCCCTTTGCTATTATTATTTTGTTGTCTTTGTTTTCTTTTGCGGTCTTGAAAAGTTCCTCACCAAGCAGCACCGCCATGAAGTGGATCTTGATCTGAAATTTGTCTTTGCATCGATGACGCGGTGGTGCTGCAGCTTTGCCTTTCCTCTTGCTTTTCTTAAATCACTCCAAACTATAAAGATGCAGAGTAAAGTAATTAAATGTCTTCTACGTAAAAAATAACAAAAATAAGTTATCAAATTATTGACAAAAATGCAAATAAATAAATAGATAAAAAGTAGCAACGATTGGAAATCGGAGTGATTTTTTTTTTTTTTAACCGATGGTTTCACTCATATGTATTTGTCGATGCAAATAGCTACCGTCGAACAATACATTGCTGTTGACTGTTGTTCCGTCTGCTAGGGGGAAGGAAATGGGAGGCACAAAAAAAAAAATCAGCGAGCCGGGTGGGACAGGGTCTACTTGGTCATTCATAAACCAAAGGCTTGCCGTGCAACTAACTTTGGCCAAATTTGAACCGCTTGTACTGTTCACCTCTATCCATGATGTTTTTGTGAGATTTTCCTGTTGTAAAATATTTACCCTGGCTCAATAAAGGTTGGTAAGCGCTGTTATAGACTCATAAAAACATTTTATTTACTGTACCGGCAATGTGTTGAGTAATCTTTTAGCGTTACCGCCTGCCCTTCCAGTTTTTAAGTCTCTGTTGATCATTTTGGAAACGTGGCAAAATGTCATTTCATTGTTTTCTTTGTGTCTTCTCGCAGTGGGCCAACATGAGCTGACCAAGCACCAAGTGGCCGTGAAAATCCTGAACCGGCAGAAGATACGCAGTTTGGACGTGGTGGGCAAGATCCGCCGGGAAATCCAGAACCTCAAGCTTTTCAGACACCCTCACATTATCAAATTGTAAGTCCTCGACTATGACCCGTGCGCATGTCCCCTCAGTAGCGATGCCGTGCACCTCGGTCCGCCGCGCTGAACTGAGTGGAGGTGAGCCACAGTGAAACGAGCCCGCATTCCCCACTTCAAATGGTAATGGAAAGCCAAATTGGCTCGAGACAGAGCAGCCTCTCAAAACAGGCTAATTTCGGCAAGACAAGAACTGTGGCGTGTAAAGCGTCCTGTAAATTTGTGATCGTCGGGTGATCAGCAAGGAGCTGATGCGAAATACAAGTCTTGGCCGCCATCAAAATGGAGTCGGCTTTGTTTACGCACTCTGGCCCGCTGTTGGCAAAGACGGCACCTCCAACACACAAAAAGGGAGTTTACATTCCTGCGCAGCAAGGGATGACGCGGAGGTGCTATGCGAACAATGTGGCGGCCGGTCGCCGCTCTGAAGCACACTCACATTTTGCCAAGATGGGCTTCTTCGGCAACCAAGCTCAACCGCTCCAAATTTCAGCGACCTTTCGTCATGTTACTGAATGACAAGCTTTGCATAAACTAAGGTGGGGGAATTCCCCTTCCAGGATGACCAGGCTGCAACGGTTGCCGAGTGGGCACTGTTAAACAAATGCATTTAGTCGTGACCTTTTGCTGTTGATTGTGCTTACTCCTAACCGGACGATCCCACGACGATCCTCACAGGTACCAGGTTATCAGCACCCCGACGGATATCTTCATGGTGATGGAGTACGTCTCGGGAGGGGAGCTCTTTGACTACATCCTCAAGAATGGAAAGGTGATCTCCTTCTTCTTCCCAGCGTTTCTCTTTTTGGGCTCGCCGTTTTACATGGACCAACTAAAAAAGAGAGAGAGAGGGCGAGAGAATAACATGTATTGATAAAACCACATCACTTGAGCATCAGATAGCTTCATGCTAACACGCAGTGCAAAATTCCCTTGACAGGCTAACGTATTTAGCAGCAACATTGTGGCGTTATAACCCTTTAAGCAACCAATACAGCAACATTTGTCCACAGACAATATAACAATACTCTTGAGCCACAGCGGGAAACAGCTAATATGACTTGAGTCGCTTATTTGTGAAACTCTTCATTGTATGTGTTGTGCTGCACACAAACACCAGAATGGGCAACGAAAAATGAACTCATGGTGCACAAACGGTTAAATTCCTTCCATTCTCTGGATTTATGTTACCGCTGAGGAGCGTTTTTTTTTTTTTTTTTTGTGATCGTCGGGTGATCAGCAAGGAGCTGATGCGAAATACAAGTCTTGGCCGCCATCAAAATGGAGTCGGCTTTGTTTACGCACTCTGGCCCGCTGTTGGCAAAGACGGCACCTCCAACACACAAAAAGGGAGTTTACATTCCTGCGCAGCAAGGGATGACGCGGAGGTGCTATGCGAACAATGTGGCGGGCGGTCGGCGCTCTGAAGCACACTCACATTTTGCCAAGATGGGCTTCTTCGGCAACCAAGCTCAACCGCTCCAAATTTCAGCGACCTTTCGTCATGTTACTGAATGACAAGCTTTGCATAAACTAAGGTGGGGGAATTCCCCTTCCAGGATGACCAGGCTGCAACGGTTGCCGAGTGGGCACTGTTAAACAAATGCATTTAGTCGTGACCTTTTGCTGTTGATTGTGCTTACTCCTAACCGGACGATCCCACGACGATCCTCACAGGTACCAGGTTATCAGCACCCCGACGGATATCTTCATGGTGATGGAGTACGTCTCGGGAGGGG